TCATTTTCGACACTTCTCTAAGGCTCAGACCCTCTCGATCATTTGGTGCTGATGCGTGGTGAATTCCTTGTTGGAAGCGGCAGATCTGTTATTGCCATGGCTAGATATGGCTAGGAGATGGTGGGAGGTCACCCAAACAAACAAAATGGACTGCTTTCATCAGAGGTGGTTGGAATTTCAGCTTCCCACGATGCCACTTTTGAAGGATCGCGACACCTGGGAGTAAGTTTAAGGCCATCGAATGTGGTTGTGGTTAAGATCTCGAGCAGGTGTCGGCATCACTGTCCCGCAAAAAAACAACGACAGCAATCCTGACCACCATGAAAACAGCCCAGAAAAGCGAGTCCATATCCCAAAACTCACTGTTCATCAATGAAACACTGAGGGAGGCGACCTGGCAACCCTCGGCGGGGAACCTGCGCAGAGTGAGTCTTCAACGATAGCAATGTGTCAGGACATGACTTGTGAGGGCTGGAACCTTGGGGGCCATGAATTTGGAACCCTCCCGAGAACGACTGGCCAAGAACTGTTCATCTATATAATTATCATCATCTATCATCCCCAAAAGCTTTCGATTTCCGGGCATATATTTACTAACGGAGAAGAAAACAAAGAAACCACATGCAGTGCCAGGCCCATTCGGATCCGAACCTGTCTGGAACCCAAGCTGCGAGACTGGCAAGACGGGTGGGGGATGGCGAGCGGGATTTCCACATTGTCCGCATCGGGGGAACCCTCTTCGATGGCCAAATTCAGTGTCCGCATGCCACCACAATCCATGACACCCAGCGCATTCCTGAATCTCTGGTTGGAATTCAACCAATATGAATTTGAAACCTAATGGATAACATCATATGACAATGAATAATTTGGGTGAGTGGATCAAACACCCAAAAATCACACACGATGTAGACTGGAACAGGTGGATGATAGCAGCTTGAGCCCTTGATTTCAAGCCAAAGGCATGGACTTTGGAACATTTCACCGAGTTGTCTTTTAATATACACCAGCCCCGCGGCATGGAATGCCTTCAACACCGAGATTCCATTCCAAAGTCACGCATGACGATGTAGCACAAACAAACGAACAATGGTATAGGACCTATCCCAAAATGGATCCAAATTCCCCAACTGGCAGAACATGGCAGAACCATGGCACAATTCGCGCATCTACTAGACGCCTGCGTCACCTGCTGTGCCCGTTCCGCAGCGCGCTCTCTCTGCCAAGCCCTGCGCACCTGCAATTGCAGCCCAAGGTGGCGATATCTGACAGCTGTCTACGTCCTGTCCATGGTGAAAAACTCATGTACTGACATATTTCACTGCCAAAATGTGGAAAACTGCAAGGTGAATGGGCACTGCCCACCTCCATGGCAGGACTCCCCTTGGGTGAGAGTGGAAATTCTGCCTGGCTGTGCGCATGTTTTGGTGAAGCCAAGAGGATACTTACCCTGTATCCCACTTTTTGGACAAACCCATATCAATTAATGAGTGCCTGTTGCAGTGTTCATGATTCAAGGCGGAAAGACGAAATGCCAGGTGATCTGCACATCGAGCTGACACATCTTGAGCCACCACAAATAGCAATAGGAACCTGTTCCCCACAAATATAATCAAATATAGTGCACTGCTCAAAATGGGCATCTTCATTGAATACAGCACTGCTGTCGCATTGTAGGTCCCTGATTCTGCAATTGGTGTTGCGAGAAAATTATCCCGGCAAGAGACCCCAAACAGCGTGGGGGGAGCAAACGGATAATGCATTATAATCTTTATGATGATATTAATTAATGTTGAGAATTGAGAATGATGTTGAAGATGACGGTGATGTTGACGATGTTGACGATGGTGATGATGATGATGATGATGATGATGATGATGTTGATGATGAGAGGAAGATAGAGAAAAATGATGATGTTGACGTGGAGGAGGAAGATGATGAAGTTGAGGAGGATAATGTTGAGGAGGAAGACCGACCCCAAGACCGGGAAGCACACTTTGTGCGAGCCTGCGCAGGCGACGTGCGCAGGGACATTTCACAAGATCCATTTTGCGTGGAAATTTACAGGAACAACGACCGGGGACACCTCTGGGGACATCGTTTTGTGCGAGCCTGCACAGTCGAAATGCACATGGACATTTCACAAGAGCCATTTTGTGTGGAATTTTAAAGGGAATTGCCGGACACGGATGAGAACACCTCGATTAAAGACCGGGCCTTAACACTTACCGTAAGAACCCCTCAGTGTGGCCACACTGTTTGGGGAATGAACGCGCATTGATATGGATGATCCATTCCGGCTTATTTGAGGCGCAATAGTTGAGGGCAAAGTCGTTGTCCTTTGTGCGAACTGCTAACATATTGGGACGCGGATCTTTTGCACCTTTTCCAGACGTTTCTGCCCTATTCACATGTTCACGGTTGTACGACCAACGGCATGCTCGTTGTGGACATCAGCAAGTTTGATTCTCTTCTTTGTGGGTGATAGCAATGCCATGACCCTAAGACTTGGGAAATGCACTTGTAGGGTTTCAACCAACAAAAAAATAACAAAGATGACACAGAATATGAATCAATAAACCTGGCAATCGAAAATGATTCGAGTCCCGTGTGTGTGCGAGTTTGAATGTCACCTATAAAAAAAAAACTCACATAAATGGATGGTTGTCAAAGACGATACCCTAAATGAGTCAATTTGATGTTTCACAGGCCCTTTTGTTCATACATCTCCCCCCCACAGTGCCACCTTCCCTCGTCTGAAAGCTTCATCCCCAAAGCAGATCCAGTCGCGGCCATTCCTCCGAGGGATGATGTGACATCGAGTGCCTATGTTTTGGGAGAATTTGGTTTAGAAAGATCATATTATATCTTTATATATATATATATATATCATATTCTACACCAACTGTATCTGTATTATCTCTTCAGGTCCATGACTGACGCTGCCGCTCTATCCAAGGACTCGACCCACCAGAGGTGGCGTTGTTGTTGATGAGGCGCAAACCTGTCTCGGAAAACACCGCATGGATGCTGCGATGGTGGGTTGGATATGGTTGGATGCTGCGATGCTTCTAGGGGCTGCACCATATGCCATGGCGCTTCTTGCACTCGCAGTATGGCGTTCACCTACTTCGCTTTACTTGTCAAATGCCATGATCATGTTGGAAGTATATGGAAGTATGCTTTCGCATGCAGTGAAACTACTGCAGTGAAACTACTGAGTGCTCAGTTTTGAGCCACTTGTGGCAGTGCCAGTAGGACAGGGTTTGAGACTTTGAGAAGTAACACATCTTGAGCTCGCCACCATCATCACCATCCAGCTACGAAACCGCTGAGATGGGGTAAAACGGTGTACTGTAATAAAATGTAATAAATACAATGAAGTGGCCTGTGACCCTGAAAAAACGTGCTTCAGTGCTCTTGTAAAGACATAGACGGCGGAGTCACGAGATTCACCAAATTTGTGAAGTTCCAATCGTCATGCGAGTGACTAATTCCGGGAACTTTCGACAATTCTGGCGGTGCTACTTGCACCATTAATTAAGTCCTTTCGAACTGCCTTTTTGGCAAGACCCCTGTATATGACGTCGATATTTATGGTCAGCGAAGCTCGAAAGATTTGCCTCAAAAACTTTAAAAGCCCAGGTGAACTTGAAAACATGCGCACCGCGAGAAAAAAACAAGTAGTACTGTAACCGGAAGTAGGAAAATACGCCAATAACAGAACTACAATAAATTTCTTAATCGATGAATAAGTTCCACACACGCGCACGCACACACACATGATTGTTATTACAGACACACACACATATATATATATATATATTATAATGTTATATATTTATATATAAATAGATAACCACGCACATATATATATATATATAACTCATTATAACTCTATACTATACATATATATATAACTCATTAGGCGGCTCCAAAATAGAGAAAAGTACATAAATTATCACTATTTTCATAGGAATTTACTTTTCTATCTCCATGGGGGTTTACTAGTACTATATACAATATATAATACGACATAAAGTCACATAATATCATGCAACACACACTGGCACATACTTCATTCGAAAGAACACAAAAGGACAGGGCCGAAAACCTGAAACAAACTTGTTCGGGCAATCTTTCACACTTGAAGTCCATTTCTCTGAGAATTCAACTCTTGCACACATCCATTTCTACTTTAGAACGGCCCAATACCGTATGTAGTGAGGGAACATCTTGTCTCTGAAAACCCTTGGATTGAAATATTGTAGGCTACAGTACTGACGGGTCAACAAGCAGTGGCGTTCCTGGTTTCAAATCTCCAAAGGTAAGCGACGCATTGGTGTAAGGCTAAACAAGATTTACTTTCGAAGCTTGACTTAAACAGTGCCCCATTCTGTGCAGGTGGATTCCATTGAAGCGAACACCGCTGCCCTGCGGCATCAGCTGTTAGATGTGGTGATTTTGGCTGCACTTCACGTCTTGCTGCAGTGAAACTTGTTCTGGAGCAACCATCGGATGCTCCCGAGGTTGATTTCCAGGTGACTAGCGCTCTCTATTCTCCCTATCTTTCTGACCTTTCGAAAGATCGGGACGACTACTCAGACTGGGAGACTTTCAAGTAGAAGGCTGTTCGGTCCTGCAGGCTGAGCACTAGATTTTGTACGACTGCTTGTCTTGCACCCACCAATTTGTCTGCCAGGGTTGTATCAGTGGATTGCTGGTATTGCTGCTTAGGCTTTAGATCTCAGTTTGGTTGCATTGTGGTTTGATATGAGTTCTAGATAATATCTATAAATTGTTGATACATATGTACCTTTTGTCAGTACCATTCAGTACCTAAAATGGTAGGCTCTACAACCCTACAGCTGTATCCTGAATGTCCACTAAACTTAGCGCCCAGGGCTGTTGCCGACTCGATCTCTTTTCTTCTTCGATGTGCGTCTAGCTCTCCTAGCACACTACGTTCACAGCATCTTCAGCTGGCGGGGCCCATGTTCTTATGCCCTGTTGGTCACCATCTGTTCCGCAAGCTCTTGAGCCTTGGGATGGACATGCCCCATGTGCTAACTATCCTCAGAACAGCTGGACTGAAATCTTTTTGACGAAAAGGAAAAGATAGGAAAAGGACAGAGAATGAAAGAGATAGAAACACCAGGGATACCCCTAGAAAGCAACCTTATGTGCCCAACAGGTGCAACAAAGTTCATTGCGCCATTTCGGAGACACGATTCGCCCACAAAATCTGTCAGTCTCATGTCAGGCTGCTTTTGGCTTCTGGGATTTGTTTCCCGAACTCATTGCTCACTCTGGTTTGCTTTGGATCATGATTTGCCCACGACACTGAACCAATGTTAATATATTATACCAATAGTCAGTATAGTTAATACTATTCAAAGATGGCATCTGGGATCAATTTCCTGCAGTAGGAGAGCCCAACCCGGGTTAGCTCTGAGCAAGCGACCTTAGCTTCGCCGTAGATCTCTTCCACAATCTTCAAAGCAAACTGCAGCCTCTGCGGAGCGACGGCTACTTGGCCTGCTAGGGAATACATTTCTGAAACCCACCGAATCTATGCACTATAGATCAAAGAAACTATGAACTAGATCTAAGATGATCTAAGTGTGACTGTTCATGATCGCAAATGCAAATAATAAGAGACAAACGGATGAGTAACAAGTTTGAGAATAGTTCATGACTGTTCATGATAGATCTAAAATGAAAACCAGGGAGTGCATGAATAAATGATTAAGCATGCAAATGAATAGCCACAAACAATTTAAGATCCAGAATTAATCGATATTAATCGCATTCATGTATGCATGTACAGTGTATACACCCCAAAACCAAGAAAGAAAACATGAAAGAACATTGGCATAAGATCCAATACATCATTTTTGACAAACATATGCAGAGGTTTTTGGAGGATGTCATGAGTTAAACCAATAAACCAACGGCTTTCCCACAGGATTTCCCACAGGCCATGACACGAGGTGCCCGGTCCCTGGCTGGTGATGACGTTGCCGTCCACCACGGCTTTCGCATCCTCCAAGGGGTCCAACCGGGCCAAGGGGATGCACAGGGGATGTACAAAAAGCCTGGCCAATTCACAGTACAGTAATATATATATATATATATGATACCCTCTGATTTCACAAGTGGCGGCCTTGAGCACTTTGAGGTGATCACAGGCCAACAACATGTATGTAGAGGCAACCAGCTCAGCGCATGTCCAGTCCTTCCAACCCGAACCCACCAGCTCTTTGAACTTAGGTGCTGGATAGCAAGTGGCACTGCTCCTTGCAGCTGCGGTTGCCCCAAAGTGGGTTAGCCCAAAAGTATATAAATAAAAATAACATTCACAAATTGCTTCCTTGCCACTAATTGAACCACAGTCGTTTACGACACCGGAGTGTTGCGGACCGTTTTCACAGTGTGAGCGGACTGTTTCATCTTCCAAGAAATTACAAAACATGGGGTCGGCTGAAGGAAATCTACCAAGCTTCTCAAGCAGGCCATGATGAGCAAAGACCACCGCTGGGCTTGCACACACTGCTGCAGTCACACGACCGGACGACTTTTGATCCTCCAGGGGTGTGGGAGATGGAGCCACAGAGGCCGATACCAAGAAGGAGCTGTGCTCAGAGGCTGTGTGACTTGGATTTTCAACAGCAAATGCCAATGGCAAAAGAATGGGAGAAACAATTTGCAGTTGAATGCCTGCTGGTAACATCTTGTAACCATGACTCATGAAAAAGAAACCTTTGATATCCTGACAACACGTATGCCATTGAGTTCGGGTGTCGACCCATCGCCATTCATCTGACCCATCAATAAAATCATCCCGTATGGGTTTGTCGGCCACTCCAAAATCCAATGATGACTAATCATGATTAATCATGTTTCCACTTAAGATGGCCGCAAGGGCCACAATTTGAGGGGTAACTCCAGTAACTCAATCACTAGCCAAATCATCATATTGTTGATCAGTTTTCTTGCTCCCGTTTGCCACAGGTTCTTTGTTGGTGAGTTACTCGACTCTATCCCATTATATACCCCGTTGTGTTCCAGCTCGTCCCAATATATACCCATCAAATCCCAATAAACCACTATAAATCACTATAAATCGCTATAAATCACTATAAATCGCTATAAATCACTATAAATCGCTATAAATCACTATAAATCACTATAAATCGCTATAAATAACTATAAATCGCTATAAATCACTATAAATCGCTATAAATCACTATAAATCACTATAAATCGCTATAAATCACTATAAATCGCTATAAATCACTATAAATCACCATGTCATATCTATCCGCCTCCCCTTGCGCCCGAAACGAAACGGGCGGTTCCTTCAACATTTCCTCCAAGACCTGATTGTCGCGGAGATGTTCCGCTCCCGGCATGCCGCCAGGTAGTGCGATCACGTCCCAAGTTTCGCCCTTGCAGTCCTTGATGTCTTTGTCGGCCACCACCTGCATCCAGCCACTCGTTTGGATTAATATGTTATAGTTAGATATAGTTGGATCATGTTAGATATCAATAAAACCAATTACACACACATTGATATAATATCACAAATGATACAATCATATACAATCTATTGATAAGGATGTAAGGAAACCAAATTTCACACAAGCTGACAGAAGGCGTTGGCTCTTAGGGTCCCTGCTTTGCAAGGAACTCTTTCACATGGCTCTGGATTTTGCAAACTCCGCATTTCAAGGAACAACCTAAAGATAAAGTACTGAATCCCATGCACCCACAGAGTTTTTGAAGAAGAATTAGTGTGCTTCCAATGGGTAACTTGCCAACACCCAGGATGCAGCCTTTATAATTATTTGATTTTTGTTGCATCCTGGGCTGCATCTGGCTGCAGATCTTTTGACTAACCCCCGTCCCAGCCACTTTGGCCCAACTCCTTCACCCCTGTGTCAAGTCAAGGGATGTCAAGGGTGCCTTCAAACCGCGAGACATTCGTACTTGCAAGTCCCCACTGCAGCTAGCGACTGTCACATCAGCCCCAGCGCGTGTGAGGACATCTGTTATGCAGGCAGTCTCGATTTCTTCCGAGTCTTCAGCAATGGGCACCTGACACACACCAATGCACTATGCGGCAGGCATGGCTTGGGCTGGTGGGTGGAAACATCATCAAATGAGTCCAACAATCATCGAGTATCCAAAACAAATCTATGGCCACTGTGCCTTTACATCCTTTACTTACTCATTCCTTAGTTGCCAGTATGTGCAAAGGAAATAGCAAACTTGGCTTGGTCGTTTTCGACCTCAGTCAACCTGTAAAAATAGCTTTGAACCAACCCATCTAATCAAAAGAATCCAATCAGCATCAATTAATGTGGCAACCCAACAATAAACCATTCCCCCAAAAACCACCATAAATGGGTGGTATAACTTATACGGTATAACCATGTATAAACCATCCCCAGTCATGGTAGGTTTATGGCATTTTTTGTTTCCCACATCAACCACCATTTTCGGTTGCTCTGTAGATCACCAAGGCACCAAAACCCGGTACTTCTTCTCCGCTCTCAGCTCCACATTGCGGCGCCCGGCCGAGCTCGTGACGAAACGCCGGCCCGCGAAGGTGAAGGCGCATTCGCCGACAAGGGTAACAACCACCTGGGAGATGGAGGGTTCCCGGAAACATATGGTGACAGGATGTAAAATAATGGAAGTTTGATGCAGTTTGATGCAGTTTGTTCCACTCGTTCCTCTTTCTTTGGATCACTTGGGAGAAATGATTCTTGGGTTTGGTTTGGGGTTGGAAATGACGCTCAGAGTTCTCAAGGTGAAAATGGTTTGCCTTGCTTAGAGGCCCTTCCGTCTGAAAGAATCGTACCTAAGGCCATTAATCTACATTTATCTCCGACCATTTATGAGATCTACAATATAGATTTATTTATTTGAGCGTCGCAACCAAGCCGCAGTTGCAAGGAGCAAGCGGTGCAGCCCCCTTCGCTTTGCCATGACTACAGGAGGCTGAGGTGGGATGTCAAGTGGTGTAGGTTGGCAGGATATGGCAGGATGAGGATGAAGTGAAAGCTACGAAAGTTCAACTATGCTCAACTTTCAAGTTTGTTCGTCCAGCTCCATCATGTCATGTAAGGTAGTGATGTAAGCACTCCGCACTGTGGCTGCTGAAAACCAGAAAAATGGAGTTGGTTGACAGCGGTGCTCATCAATCGAGATGGTCAGTCTATATATGTCTATACAAATTGGTGTTCTGAGTTTCAACTTTGAGCCAGTCCCAAATAGCAACAAAATACTGGGTCTGTGTGTGTGTGTGCGCCTTCTTCCTTCTGGTTCTGACTTCGCATTACATGTCTTCGTGGTGCACAAATGACTGAATGTGATCCCGAATCTAGGAGCTTACCCACAACCCCTCACAAACACCGTAGTTTTTTGGGGCTGAATATGGCTGAATGATCCAACTAATTCCCACTCCTCTGCTCGCCACATGACGGAAGGTTTCCGCCACGTCAAAGGATATGTGGCATCCTGAGTGGGGCGGAACACGGAGGGATTATCATTTCTACACACACAGTACACACACACACACGACTGCCATGAAGTACAGGTGACTGTGCTTGAAATCACGGTGCATCCGGTGCAGTTGTCTTCAGCTGTTGTTTTTGCTTTAGGATCTGTAGGGCGGTAGCACAGCTTCCATCAGCATCCACGCTGACGATGCTCACGTTTTGATGTTTGATTTGGGCTTCCCAACGCCCTCAGCCCATTCAGCTGCAAAGATGGCATGGCGTGTGTCCTTGCCCATGGGATGCCCCAAAAGCAGTGGGCTGGGACCGGGTGGGATGCAGCTGCGCCTTGTTATCGGCGTGCTTGGTGTTGCCCGGCACAAACCAGGCCTGGAGTCTAAAAATCCCAGGTGTGAAATAACGATTTTGATGAGAACTACTGAAAACAATGGTTTTGTCGTGCTAGGGCGTCCAGTGTGTTTGCCCGAAACGAAACAACATAGAAATCAGAGCAGCAAATGACTGGACAAATTGCTGCATCACTGCATGGGTTTGAGGTGCATGCATGTGCATGCTGTGTACATGTGCGTCTCCGTGTGAGTGTATGTGTGTGTGTGTTTTTTTTTAAATGTGTTTTTTCATTCATAAATTGATTTCATGAAGCACCCCGAACACCAGCTTCATCAACTGCCACCGGCACCTCATCCAACTGAACGTCGGGGACAGCCTCGGCTGGGGCCATTGCCAAGAGGTGCAGCCAGTGCCACGACAAACACGGAGCAATTTGCTGTGCTGCACACATCGAAGAAGTGCCATCCATCTCCCAGCCTCAGGGGGCGGGTATACCTAGCGACTCCTACTGCGGGGCAGTGTCAGAACTTGGCACTTTCCAGGCTTGAAGGGCTACTGTATGAATGGCTACCCGTTACCCTTTGGCTGGGCCCAAAAATATGCATTGTGCTGCCCTCAGCCAAATAGCCTTCAGGGATCATCATGGATTATTGTTCACAGTTGCTGTGACAAAGGCTAGCTACAGCCCTACCGCTCATAACCTCCTATCCTGTCTGCAAGCGCAGGGCACAAGGATTCGTAAACCTTGAATGCACTCTTCTCCGCGAATGAGCGCAAAGCAAGAGCGTAGGATCGCCAGCGCGAACCATAGATTCATAGATGCCGATGCAGTAAATATGAAGCCAAGGCCACGGCCAAACCTCTACCCAGTTGTGGTTGCCACCCGTAGGGATCTCAGGATGGCATGAGTGGATTCACTAGGAAGTTCTGGGCTTCAAGGCCTTGTAAAAAGCTGAGAAAGAGCGTGCATGAAAACTTGACACATGACTCTGTTTGCAACATCTGCATCGTATCTTGGCTTGACTCACTTGACTCTTGTAATTCATCAGTAAAGTTGCTCTTGTCTTGGGAGCGAATCTTCCAATAACATCGAAAAGCAGCCCATTCCCCTTCTGTGTAGGATGAAACCGATGGACTAAGCCGGCTAAGCCTAAGCCTGTGACATTCCACTGAGGCGTTCCGACCTCACACTTTTTCGCATCACCGGACGCTGAAACCCTGGGGTATCCTGGGGTCCCCATGGCACAGATCATGAGGCCCATGCCATACGTGCCGGGATGCCAACAGCTCGCAGGCCATCCTAGTCACGATGGACTCGATGGACCCAGGAATAAATCCACCTATAGAAAAGCCAATGGCCGACACAGATCAGGCATGATCAGGCAATGTTGGGCTATAAAAAGGAAAAAAAATAATATATATATATAAATACTTTATATATATATATATATGAAATGGTTTTCCAAATGTTTTCCCAAATGTTTCCAACTTCGAACTGGGCAAGGAGCCAGTGAATCCTATTGCTTTACTCAGCTTCAGAGAGACACCCCGCTGGACGCTCACACCATCCAGTGGCCATCCTGCTGAGGCGACAGCTACAATCAGAATGGAAGTTCCAGTGCAAGATGCGTAGCCTGGAGGCGCAGTTCCTCATGAAAACACATGAAAACTATGACTCCGAAAGTCCTAAGCATTGATTTTTACATGACATCAGATGTGGATAATATGGATGAATATGGATGAATAATGATGAATATGGTGGATTGTGGGATGATTATGGATGATTATGGATGATTGTCGTATGCTATTTTTTTCTTGCTCCCATCGTCAAAGCATTTTGTGGAATAAAAACAGAGCTGCACCTGACGTCAAGGTTTCGCTCACCGGCCTTGGGAGGACCATGACTTGAGACATCGGACCAGTCACCCCCCATTGGTAACCCGTTAGACGGGAGGCGTTCTTTTATGATTCATCGCTTTTCTTGTGCTTTTGTCTTAAAATCACTGAAATAATGTACAGATATGCACAGTATCACAAATACAGTAGCACCTGTAACTCAGGTGCTTCAGAAGACATGCTGGATGGGAGATTGAACCCAAGATGCAACGTCCAATGAGTGGCTCATACGGATACTTAACTTTATCCGCCGACCCCGGCCTTCGCCAAGGCCGGGGCGGCGCCTGGGACCACTGCAGGTGTGGACCTTGTCCTCTTCCAAACCCTCCAAACCTTTACCCTTAAGCAGCTTCCCCAACAGGCACCCCAGGGCCAGGGCCACAGCAATGACTTTCTATGAGCTTTCAAAGCTGCCGTTTGCCAGCCCGCAAAGGCTCCAAACGCCTCCAAAATTCCAAACCCCCAGGGCCAGGGCCACAGCAATGAGACTTTTTATGAATTTCAAAGCTGCCGTTTGCTAGCCCGCAAAGGCTCCAAACTTTCCAAAACAAAATTCCAAACACCTTCCCAACAGGCACCCCAGGGCCAAGGCCACTTCCCCAACAGGCACCCCACGGCCAGGGCCAAGGCCACTTCCCCAACAGGCACCCCAGGGCCAGGCCACAGCAATGGCCTTCTTAGGCTTCCGCAAACCCTCCAAAACTCTCTCCAAACGCTCCAAACCCTCCAAAACCCTCCAAACACCGTCCCCAGCAGGCACCTCAGATCCACAGCAATGACTTTCTTGATGCTTTCAAAGCTGCCGTTTGCCAGCCCGCAAAGGCTGCAACCCCTCTAAAATTCCAAACACCTTCCTTAACAGGGCCAGGGCCACAGCAATGACTTTATATGGGCCTCAAAGCTGCAGTTTGCCAGCCTGCAAAGGATCCAAACTTCCAAAATTCCAAACACCTTCCCCAACATGCACCCTAGGGCCAAGGCAACTTCCCCAACAGGCACAGGGCCACCAGGGCCAGGGCCAAGGCCACTTCCCCAACAGGCCCAGGGCCAGGGCCAAGGCCACTTCCCCAACAGGCACCCCAGGGCCAGGCCACAGCAATGGCTTTCTATGGGCTTTCAAAGCTGCCGTTTGCCAGCCCGCAAAGGCTCCAATCCCCTCCAAAATTCCAAACCCCCAGGGCCAGGGCCACAGCAATGAGACTTTTTATGAATTTCAAAGCTGCCGTTTGCTAGCCCGCAAAGGCTCCAAACTTTCCAAAACAAAATTCCAAACACCTTCCCCAACAGGCACCCCAGGGCCAAGGCCACTTCCCCAACAGGCACCCCACGGCCAGGGCCAAGGCCACTTCCCCAACAGGCACCCCAGGGCCAGGCCACAGCAATGGCTTTCTTAGGCTTTCAAAGCTGCCGTTTGCCAGCCCGCAAACCCTCCAAAACTCTCCAAACGCTCCAACCGCTCCAAACCCTCCAAAACCCGCCAAACCCTCCAAACACCGTCCCCAGCAGGCACCTCAGATCCACAGCAATGACTTTCTTGATGCTTTCAAAGCTGCCGTTTTCCAGCCCGCAAAGGCTGCAACCCCTCTAAAATTCCAAACACCTTCCTTAACAGGGGGCCAGGGCCACAGCAATGACTTTCTATGGGCCTCAAAGCTGCAGTTTGCCAGCCTGCAAAGGATCCAAACTTCCAAAATTCCAAACACCTTCCCCAACATGCACCCTAGGGCCAAGGCAACTTCCCCAACAGGCACCCCAGGGCCAGGGCCCAGGGCCAAGGCCACTTTTTGAACAGGCACCCCAGGGCCAGGGCCAAGGCCACTTCCCCAACAGGCACCCCAGGGCCAGGCCACAGCAATGGCTTTCTATGCGCTTTCAAAGCTGCCGTTTGCCAGCCCGCAAACCCTCCAAAACTCTCCAAACGCTCCAAACCCTCCAAAACCCGCCAAACCCTCCAAACACCGTCCCCAGCAGGCACCTCAGATCCACAGCAATGACTTTCTTGAGGCTTTCAAAGCTGCCGTTTGCCAGCCCGCAAAGGCTGCAACCCCCCCAAAATTCCAAACACCTTCCTTAACAGGGGGCCAGGGCCACAGCAATGACTTTCTATGGGCCTCAAAGCTGCAGTTTGCCAGCCTGCAAAGGATCCAAACTTCCAAAATTCCAAACACCTTCCCCAACATGCACCCTAGGGCCAAGGCCACTTCCCCAACAGGCACCCCAGGGCCAGGGCCAAGGCCACTTCCCCAACAGGCACCCCAGGGCCAGGCCACAGCAATGGCTTTTTATGGGCTTTCAAAGCTGCCGTTTGCCAGCCCGCAAACCCTCCAAAACTCTCCAAACGCTCCACACAGCAATGAGACTTTTTATGAATTTCAAAGCTGCCGTTTGCTAGCCCGCAAAGGCTCCAAACTTTCCAAAACAAAATTCCAAACACCTTCCCCAACAGGCACCCCAGGGCCAAGGCCACTTCCCCAACAGGCACCCCAGGGCCAGGGCCAAGGCCACTTCCCCAACAGGCACCCCAGGGCCAGGCCACAGCAATGGCTTTCTATGCGCTTTCAAAGCTGCCGTTTGCCAGCCCGCAAACCCTCCAAAACTCTCCAAACGCTCCAAACGCTCCAAACCCTCCAAAACCCGCCAAACCCTCCAAACACCGTCCCCAGCAGGCACCTCAGATCCACAGCAATGACTTTCTTGATGCTTTCAAAGCTGCCGTTTGCCAGCCCGCAAAGGCTGCAACCCTTCTAAAATTCCAAACACCTTCCTTAACAGGGGGCCAGGGCCACAGCAATGACTTTCTATGGGCCTCAAAGCTGCAGTTTGCCAGCCTGCAAAGGATCCAAACTTCCAAAATTCCAAACACCTTCCCCAACATGATGGCCGGGCAAAAGCCTCTGCAGCAGCAGGAGGAAAAGGTAGCCAAAATTCATAGCAGCAGCAAGAGGAAAAAGTAACCAAAATCATCATTTTCTATGCGTTTTCGCTAGGCATTTACGGGGTGCAATTTTGGGGTTTCTCCGTCCTTCACTGCCATGGTGTTTTCCCATGCGGGGACCAGCAGCAGCAGCAGCAGCAAAAGCTTCTGCAGCAGCAGGAGTAGGCAGCAGCAGGCAGCAGCCAGCAGCAGCAGCCAGCAGCAGGCAGGAAAAAACATGGGTTACAATGACAGTCCTAAAAACGGAGGGTACTTGACACTCAAAGTATATATCAATCCATCCGTCTTTCTTCCTATGCCACTATCTATCTATCCAACAATCGATCTATCCATCTGTTTATCCAACTGTCTATCTACCTATCTGTCATCTATCTCTCTCTCTCTCTATCTCTCTCTCTCTCTCTCTCCCTCTCCCTCCCTCTATCTATCCATCTGTCCAACAATCGATCTATCCACCTGTTTATCTAACTGTCTATCTACCTATCTATCAATCTATCTCTCTCTCTCTCTCTATCCCTCTATCTATCCATCGATCTATCTCTCTCTCCCTCTATCTATATATCTATCTATCTATCCATCCATCCATCCATCCATCCATCCATCTCTCCCTCTCCCTCTCCCTCTCTGTCTCTCTCTCTCTCTCTCTCCCTCTCCTCTCTCTCTCTCTCTCCCCACAGTCCCCCCCAAATAGAGGGGGGTCGGCGGCACCTGGGCGCTAGCCCATTCTATACTTTGACCTTCACGGACTTCTGCACTTCCCCGTGGGATACTCGCGCAAAATGAGGCGGGGTCAGGGGTTGGGCTCCCTTTTCGTGGCAATCCCTGCATTCTGAGCAAAAAAAAGGAGTTTGTGGGAAACACATCTGCCAATGCCATGGCCAGCAGGGCAACATTGTCATGTTATCCAGATTCAATTTAGGGGAGTGGTTGCGGCCCACAAAAAAGCGTTGGACAAGATGGACAAACACAGACGAATTAACACATGATGCAGGTTTGGTTTTCTTCAAGGTCCCCTGGATTGGTGATTGGCAAACTTCTCCCCGAGCTTCTATGGTTGAACAATTCTGAAAAATTGGTTGGATGGGGTGGCATCACAAAGCAACCCTGTTGGTTATTGTGCCCTCACATTTCATTTGGGATAATAAGTTTGGGTCTGTAGGTGTGATTACGCCGGGTTCCCTCGCAAAGTCATGGATTCTTATACATGTACTTACCCAGTACTCCTGTGGAATTTCCCAGCAAGGACCCTTAGCACATCTTGGTACCAGTTGTTGGTTTTTGACATTTCAAGCGGAGCTGTTGGGAACCCACTCAAGCCTAAGCATCTTGCCGAACACCCACTGATGTAAGTTCAATGCAAGCGGCGCCATCATGGCAGGTGTAGAATTGGACTTGAAGACAACTGCGCTTTGATTTGGCTTTTGCAAGACCTCGCCGACAAACAAATCATTGCAAAAACAATGGTCCCGGCACATCGGCTTGCAGTATCTGCATGACTAAAAGAAGTCATATTGCCTCAAACTCCCGACTGAGAGTTCTGGAAACAATAATAGAGGCAGCAGACCCACAAATAAAGATAAGCATGGACAATCACAAACAGGCAGAAATGCGCCATGATCCATCAATTTATTGCATACATGCGTGCATACATGTATTGAAACAAGCAGGCAGCTAAAGACACCACTTTGGGAACCTTTGGAAAATCTTAGGTGATGTGACGAAAAAGGTCAGCAGCTTCAAATGCTGCAGGAGACAGCCTGTGATCACGCGAATATACGTATTAGTATGTATTAGTATTACAAACCAAAAACATCAAACAACTATAATTACCACATGTTATAATATTATATACTATTGATATTGTACAATTATGATTCATTATGGCTAATTATGTGAATATATTTGCAGAAAGAGCAGGAGAGAGGGAAAGAGAGAGTTTGAGTCACATACTCATCCACGCACAAACCAGGTACCTTTGGAGAAGCTCTCAATGAGGTGAAGATTCGAGGAACCACCTCCTGAGACCGGAATCCCAGGGTCAAAGGAATATCCAGGGCTGATCACGCTGGATCTTGGTGCAGTGGGAGTGACACATGCCCAACTTGACAAGCACGTTTTGAAATGAAGGATGTCAACATGATTACATTGATGTCAACATATGTCAACCCAGATTGCTAGATCCCAGTTGTTTAGGTAGGTGGGCCAGTATCCCCAAAAGACTCATGATGCATGATTGAACAACCTTCTGAAAATTGCACCCCCAACTGCTGCAAGTCCTTGACTGCGCCTCGAAGGCTTTTTGCCTCTTGGGCATAAGGCGCCTACGAACAACGAGACGGACCAACTGCGAGAAACGGCTCGAGTGATCCACGTCCCATTCCAGGTTTCAAGTTAATCATGGAATTCACCATAATTTCTATGCTGAGCTGTTAGGATTTGTTAGGAGTTGGTTTATTGATGTTTATTGTGAAGTTGAGCATGAATGACCGCGAGATGGCTGAGAATCAGGCTAGAACTTGGAAGAAACCAGCTCTCCAGTCGTCGACAGGCTCATCTACCACCCTCAGCAATGCAACGGACAAGGCGGTGGCCGGTTTTTTTTTCCGCAAACCGGCGCTATTCCAAGCTCCCAAGTACTTCTAGCCGTTCATCAAAATCCATGATGTAAGCTATGAAACATGCAGTCAATGAGTCAAAGGAAGAGAAGAGCAACTTCCGAAGGCTGCAAGAGTGTGGCAAGCCCACCTGTAAGGCAAGACATACTTCAGAAACAGGTCCTGCTCAGAAACCAAAATCTTTGACCATCTAGGAGGAAATGGGGCATTCAAGCTCACATGCTGGCTTTCAAGTCCACATTGCTCTAGTGCAACAGCAACGTTCCCCATGAACTACCATAGTGTTAAAAATAATGTGCGAACCTTGCGAAGCTTGAGTATCAACACTTTTTCGAGCCATAGCCTGCCGCAGTTCTCCTCTGGGAGATGGGATTGGCATTCGATTCATCTTTCATCTTCAAACAAATGCCTTTGGTGCCTGCAACTCTAGGCCCGGGAGCCATGTTCCCTGATGCCCACTGGGCGCCTACTGATTGCCTCCAACCAAAGATTCAGTTGACTGCCATCTCCCACCACACGTGAATTACAACGGGGATACAGATGGCACTGTCACAGGTGACCCTTGTACCACAGCTGTCTATCAACCAAAGAATCGATAAGGCCAGTTTTTACATGTTTTTACTGTGTGGCTATCCTCAAAGAAGATCAAAGAAGTACAATTGTAGTTTGGAGTCACTTTGGGTGTCATCCGTCGCGTGAAATGTTACACCAATTGGCGCACACATTTTTTTTGGCGCCGACCACTTCGGGCCTTCTTTGACCCGTTGGCCGACCTGGAGACACGGCGGCGTGAGACTGGGACTGCCCATACTATGCTTCCAGCCGGCACCCTTTCATCAGGACTGTTGAAAGCCGATGTGTCTGAAAACAAGGCATGCCTACAAGAACAATGGTCACCGAATGGCAAATACATGCAAATACAAGGATCAAATATGATAAGCATGATAAGCATATTTTATCAAGTAACTATCCGGCCCAGTATGGGCTGAAACCACTGTCAATTTGTGGCTGCGGCATGGAAGCACTGTGGGACTGTACATGCTCATGAGAGGACGTCCTGGGCAGTGATTGAAGTGAACCAGGTCATGGAATTATCATCTTGAAAAGCAGCCTATGCAACAGGTGCTTCAAGCTTTTAAATCTTTTGAAACAACAGAGACGTAAACAAACTTTCTCAAAAACTCCTGTTTCTGGGACATGCTTTTGACAGGTAGCGGTGGCATATAAACAGGATAGTTAGGTATCCATAATATATCATAATATGGGGGCGTCAAAAATTGTGGAATATTCCATGTCATGGCTATTCCGATGAGGAAAATTATGATAAACAATGCCGATTTCAGGGTTGAGATTTCCCCCATCTAAACTAAACCTAACCTACTAGTGGACATAGCATATAATAGCATGACATAACCACCAAACCACCATCCGAATATGTCAGAATCCTTTGTTTGCTTCGCTCTCCCAGTCAAGGTGCTTCACCTTCGGAATCCACCTCCGGCACCTCTTCAATGCCATCGCTGTAGTTGTCGAAATTCTCCGCGTAGTCATGCTGCCCTGAGCCTTCGCTCACCTGATGGGCCGGGGCCCAGGATGGTGGAATAGCTGGTGTGGGTTATGGTGGGCACGAAACTGAGCAGCCCCAGAGCGCACCACATTTCTTGTATGAATTGTGGTTTTTGTTTATGAAGGTTGTGAATCCAGCATGCTCCACCCCCATTACTCCACAAAGGCATGAAATATGATTTGATAAGAACACGAGCGTTCGGTGCCAGCATTCCCTGAACCAGGCTGTTCAGGTGGTCAAGGTGTGGTAACCCCCCACAGTTGCAAAGGTAGTAGCCTTGTCAGCGTAGATTGGACCATCATCGGAGATACTTTCCTGAAACAAGATCAAAGCAGCAAAGGGAGCGTTGGGAAAACACGAGGCCGCTCTAATTGGATGGCATCTTTTAACTCTTTGAGAGACCAGTCTGCTGGCATTGCTTAGTGGAGGCTGCCAGCAGCGACCAAATATGAAATCACAAGCAATTCCTCGATCTACTTTTGGTCCCTTCAAACCAAGTATTAATAATCGAAATCAATAGGCCAGCAAACAAGCAAACAAGCAAACCAGCAAAAATGAAGAAATACACCTAAAAACTGAAATCAACACACAGGCACGCATCATATTCACATATACCCCTCTCTCTCTCTCTCTAACACAAGTATATAGGCACCATATAATATATCTCGCATATATTATTTGTACATATACTGTATGTTTGTGCCTAGAAGAGGTACATAATTCAATCAACAGACACTTGTGAACATATGTGTATGTCAAAACTGCCAAATTGCCAAGTGTCTGCCATGTCACTCTGCACCTCAAAGGGCTCGTCGTACTGGTCCATTGATACCATACCAAATTCCTGGATCCCGGAAGTGTCACTGAAAAGATACTGAAAGGTCTGCAAGGGATGTTGTATGCGGATGTTGGGCCAGTCTGTTTCTAGTTTTCTTCCTGATTTTCATCCCACATTTTCCGATTCCTTTGCTGACATCCAATTACTGTCAATGGCCCTCTTTTAAGACCTGCGTTTTCTAAGAGTCCAAGGCACACTTACATTGCAACAAATCCACAACGATGGGCCCATTTCGGAAACACGGGGGAAAAGCAGAACGTGTCGTCCGCATTGTATACATCTGGGATCGTTTAGGAGAGAAGATCAAAGGACATCCATGTCCAGCATTCCTGAAGCTACTATGGAACCACCAATACTCCGCACAAGCCATCTTTCTTGGTCATTCTCACCATTTCACCGGGATCCCATCAGTGGGGTGCGTACGAAAATTGTGATCCAGCATCTGGTGGCATCGATGGTGGCATTGCCATGGCTGGAGGCCCGCTCGGCGGCATGGCCGCTGGTGCGGCAGGCTTTGGGGGGGACACAGGTCTTGGAGGCGAAAATGCGATCTCCTCCTCCTCCTCATCCTCTGAAGCAACTTCATCGAAGTCATCCGTCTGATAGTGCTTCATTCCCCCACCTGGGCCAAGTCTTCTGCAAAGCACATGCCAGAAGGGCAATCCACTATTTTCCAAGTCTGTAAGGATCTGTAAGGTGTATATAGAGATAGTTGTGGGAGATGGTTGACACCTGACACGTTTTCCATTCAGTGCCAACAAATTCCAACAAACTGCCCCCCTTGTTTATCTGATCGCAATCCCAGTATGCCCACTGACTAGGTCAACTAGATCAACTAGATCAACTATGATTAACTACAAGTAGATTAACTAGATATAACATGATATAACTAGATTCAGTAGTCCAGGATGTCAGTATGTCAGTATGTCAGTATGTCATTGATATAGATAGATAGATAGATAGATAGATAGATAGATATACCCGACCCGACCTTGTTCGGATGCCGATCGCGATGGCGATGCCACGCTGATCCTTTCATCCTGGCACTGGGATGGCCCTGGGTCAATCTACCCAAGTCATCCCAAGTCAAGGGGACCCTGTGGCACCGGACAATATTAATTAATTACATATATAATATATATTACTATGATTTACTATGATAGATTGCCATGGTGAAACCCTACCAACAATGGTTGAAAAGAGCTGAAACATGTTGAAACATGTTGAAACGATTTGAACAGAATCCGAAGCCGCGTGGTAGTGTGGCGAGACATTGACTGGAAGGCTGTTGACAATGCCTCGTCCAGTGCAACGCTCACGTCTTCTGAATCCATCCTGGAATCGAAGTCCTGGGAGTCAGTTGGGATCATGACCCCACTGGTGGAAGATCTATTCATGACCTTCCCACTATACAATGTTTTTTTTCCCCAGCCCTATGTAATTTACAAAACCATGGGTGTAACCAACGACATTTCAAACTTCAATGCTAAAAATCCCCAAATCCATCCAAATCATTCCAAATCCCTACTGTCATTGCTGTAATAAACGTGAATAAATCACGTTATCATTATATAACATTATGATACATTTTGTATATATTATATATATATAATATAACTCCAGGGCTGAGCCCAGCCCGACCCCCCTCCCAGGAACGTTGCGGTCCTTGGGCGCCGGCTTCGCTGGCTGCGGTGGCTGCGCTGGAGCTGGCCGGGACGCCGCAGGCAGCGCAGGCGGCTCCTCAGATTCGAAGTCTTCGCCGTAGTCGCTGGCAATGTCCTGTCCAAGGACATGGGAAACATTGGCAAACTCAGAAACCATCGGATATCAGGAACCGAAGATAACATGATAACAAGATAAAGTTAAGCATAGCTAAGCTTTTATTTAAGTATGGTTCAACACCTGCATTCGTTATTCACAATTCTATATGAGCTCCTGTTCCAAGAAACGTCCTGTTGCAAGTGGGGCCCCTCACAAAACAGAACCACTGCAGAGCATCATTGATGGGGTCGCTACCCACAAAGCCACCGGGACATGGGCCCTTCGTTTCACTCAGAGTCCTGATAGATAGATACCACCTGTTGATCTTGCAGAATATGTATATATATATGATATAAGTTTTGTTTGCCCATGCCTTTAGGGTGTCGTCACAAAGATTTGCATTTCATACGCTTTTATGGCCTCTGGGATCCTGACAACTGTGAACATGAAATTCTCCGCACGCCTGAGCCTGAGTCGCTGGAGCTGCAGCTTGCGGCTGCGCAGGCTGCGCAGGCTGTGAAGGTGTGGCGGCTCGAGCTGGAGCTGGAGCTGATGATTCCTCATCTTCGAAGTCTTCTTCCCCATAATCGCTAGTGTCCTGCCATGGGCCATCAGCCCAGGGTGCTGGACACTGAGGAAACTCATGAGGAATTAAAAGACGAGTGGGAATATTAGTATGATATAGCAATGATGGCAGCATGATGGCAGCATGATGGCATTTCATGGCATTGCAGCATTCCAACATGGACGTGTTTCAAGCGACGTCCCGCCTTTGGCTGCGACACGGAAGCCGCTGAAGGCGCAGGTGGCTGTGCTGGCATAGGCGCAGGCACCGCAACTGCAGCTGGGGCTGGCACCTTTGCCGGAACAGCAGCTGGAACAGCCACTGGCTCCTCATCCTCAAACTCATCTTCGCCATAGTCATCGACTGCAGGGGTCTGCCTCCCTGCAGGAACCTGAAGCTGTCTGGCTTCAGGGGACACTTTTGGAGAGACATCAGCAGTTTCTTCGTCAAACCAGGCAGCTGCTGCAAGGCAGTTGTCTCGCACTGTCTCTCACACACACAGGCAGGCACTGAATACAGACAAACAATAACACACACGCACAAACACAAATACACGTAATTAAACTATATATAGTATATCAGCACAATAATGTATGAATGTATGTATGTATGTATGTATGTGTGTATGCCTGTATGTATGTATGTATGTATGTATGTATGTATGTATGTATGTGTGTGTATGCATGCATGCATGTATGCATGCATAAAAATATAAATATACATGCACAAATGCAACATGATGATATACGATATGATATTTATATAGGTCTATACAGGACTGTCATGGCTTTGTGCCTGCAGCATCTTGATATGTCTTGATCCTTGAGATGTTTTCAATGTTTTTCATCCCGGTGCCCAGGGGTATCTTGTGATGCCTAATCCGCACCTCTTCGCTGACAGGGCTGGCTGAAACGCTAGCCTCATTTGGCCGTGTGTAGGACACATGTTTGGTCATACTGAGTCATACTGGTCACACAGCTGTCCGTCATCTCTCCATCTTTTGCTGGTCTCTTCAAGAGTACTTCCTTCCCTTTGACTATGATTTCCCTTTCAGAATCTCCTCTTTCTTCTTCTTGCGTGGCTTAGCCACATATCAATTGGTTGTCATGAGTTGCCTATTTCACAAGCTGTGTCAGTTATCTGCATTGAACAGTTGTAACACACATCATATAATTTCAATTAGTTTCATGTAATGTCAGTCCTTTGGTGACTCGCTTGGAGTCCCAACATCATCCTCGAAGAAGGGCTGGAGGCCGTCGATTAAGTCTTCAAGACCTTGGTTGCGTCATGTTGCATCTAGCTGTCTCAGAAATTCACTGCAACCATCCAACACTTTCGACATTCTCCCCGGAAACACCTGGAGAACATTAAAGACCTTGTGATCAAGGATGCAAACAGTTTCAACATTGAAAGAGTGCCAGTCGAAAGTCAGCCATACTCAACATGTTCTTCATGCCTTAAGTCAAGTTGACTTGCTTTAAAACTGCACAGCGGCAAGACCCCAAGAAAGGTATGTTCCAATCAGAAATCAATGAAAACCATGGACAATCATCTTCCAAGCCTTTTTGTTTGCCGTTCCCATGTTTATTCTTATAATTCTTGAAAGGTATCCATGTCGGCTAGTGATCACCACCCCTGCTGTGGAGTTGCTGGCTCTATCCGTGTGCTCGGCCATCTCTTTGAACAGCCCTGCCTGGGCAATTTTTGTGTTGCTGCTTCCAAGTACCAGAAGTCACAAATGCAGACGATATGGGACAACATATTATACAGTATAGTATATTAACCTGATATAGTACTATAATAAATTACAACAGAATATACGTATAATATGTTGTCAAATAATACCATGATACACTGATACACTGCAATTTCGTAAGGCAATCTGGAGAATCCGGTCGAAGCTCAGCCAAACTTGCAGGTGCAGGGTGAGGCAGCTAAAATGATACTCCAATTTCTTTGGAAACTTTCAAAGTAGTGAGCTATTCTGACATTGTACCAGTATATTACCAATATTAATTACCAATATTAATTACCAATATTACCAATATTACCAATATTACCAGCCTGAATTCAAGTCAATCAATGCTGTTCCTACTTCTATGAATAACCAGTGACTCTGGACTGAAACACCAGACGCACACATCCAAGATGCAAAGTTGAAGCCGCCGTACGGATCACTAAAAACCTCAAGTTGAAGTCGCTAGAATCAAGAAAACATGCCAAACCCGTGCGGACAAAGATGGCGAACACAACAATCAAAGTGGGAAACTGGACGAAATTATGATCACAATGCGTTGGCCTTGGGGTTTGTTGGGCTATATGCTCGGCTGACTGTCGATGGGCTTGAATCTTGTCACGAAATTTATCATGCGGAAAGTCGCCGGCGAACCCATTCTACGTATTATATCGAAAGAAAAGGCACCAAGTCCACCCAAACCCAAATTTCAAATCTCAAACGCTTGCTCCAACAATCCCAAAATATCCGAAATCTCATGCACTTGCTGGAGATCCCAGGCAGTCTAACGACTTAATTATTTAGTTCTGGATCAAAAGAACAGCAAAGAACGACCAACCAAAACCACGGCTGAAACAAATCGGTAGAAACTCCGAGGTGATACAACTTGCTCTTGAACTCGTTCAAGTCCAGCAAGGCCTCACTGAGCTGGAAAACATGCAAAAGTATCCACAAGTATTGGTCTCCAAAACAACCCCCGGTCACAAGATGTCGCAGGCTTGTAAGATTTACCACTTATATCTCCAAAACCCATTGCTCACGAATGTCCTGGAACTTTTTCGTCCAAGATTCTGAGCACATAACAAGCACAACACAGAAAAATATAAAATGGTATCATTGGAATCATTGGTATCCATGATCTTTCCGCTACCAGCGATCCCCGGGCCCACCCGGCTCCAGGCCTCAGGAGTCCAAGGTTGACCCGGCCGCTTCAGCAGTTCCGTAGGCTTCGCCGCGATGCCATATTTCTGCACCAGGCCTTGAAGTTGAAGGTGGTTTAATGATGTTGAATGTTGGTTTCTCTTGGTTTTAGTTGGTTTCCAGATTTGTTTTTCTTGGCCAGCTTTGGAAGTTGCCTAGTAGAGCAATATTGCAACATACTTGAGCTTGGAGCTTCCCACTTATTTCCTCCACTGCCTCCCCTCTAACCAAAACTACTCTCAATTCACTGGGGCACGCGTTATGTACAACTTGGGACCAAACACAAGACAACTTGGTTTCAGCTATTCCACGTTCCACCAACTTCTCCCCTGGCTGCAGCCAAGGGTCGCTTTGCCAAATCCTCCAGGTGCCGTTTGTTGGAAGGCGTGGCGGATCCAGCAGATGATGGTGATGCAGACGGTGGAGATGAAGAGGGTGGCACAGCTAATGCCTGGGAATTTGCCACGAGCTCGCTGGAAGGCAAAGGAACATCAGTAAAGGATGGGTGGATTCCAACATTGACAAACTGATGCGAAAATGTGAGGGTCCTGTTTCTCTTTGGATCTAATTTTAGATCTAACTACTACGCCCTCCTTTGACCGTAGGTTCAAGGGAAACACCATATCACCATTAGAAATCCATTGGTAATTCGGCACACCCCTCATATCCCCTGCTGAACATTGCTGAACGACATCCCAGCTACCGATGGCCCAACGGGCACTGTGAGTGCTGGCGTGGCTGCCGAGGCTGCTGTCCGCTGGGGGTGTGACTCGGTAGTTTCGTCCTCGAAGTCATCATCCCAGGGATCATGTCCCGTCTGCTGTGTCCTTGGTGTCTCGCTTTGATGTTGCGACAAGACTAATGAGTAAACTATTCTTAAGGAAATGCCTTAAAATTGAATTTCATCTATATAAATTCCTAAAGGCTCTGTGATTATGCACTAATGAGACGCATTCTGTACCCTCAAGCTGCTCACATTCTGAAACAGAAGCCTCTCTACTTCAATTTGGTGAATGTTCACCCATATTTGATAATTTGTAGGATTTCTCACTTCGGCATTACATCTACTTACATCTATCTACGGTTGAATCTGCACTTGTAACATCTAACATCTACAAAGAATACGTATATATATATATAGGTATATTACTACTAATAATAATAGTAAAAATAATGAATATACATACTTACAAAACTTGAGGCCGGGGGTGGATGACGAAAGCTAGCGGGGTAGGAGAAAGAAGGAAGGGAAGAGGTGAGTTGCGGAGGGACTGTCATCATCGTGTCGCGGCATTTTTCGTCCCAACGAGGATGCAACAATGATATATGATATATAACAATGATATATATGGGGGAGGGGGCAGGGGGGGGCCCTTTCGCGTGAAAAAGCACGTGATGTCCTTGGGGAGCCCCGGAATACTTGCTAAAGCAAGAAGACTCTAGCGAGCTGACGCTAGCTTTCGTGATAATGCCAATAATTGCCAAAAATGATAAAATGTAATTGATTAACGATGATGGTGATGATGATGATGATGATGATGATGATGATGACGAGGACGAGGACGATGACGATGACGAGGACAAGGACGAGGACGAGGACGAGGACGAGGACGATGATGATGATGATGATGACGATGACGAGGACGATGGCGAGGACGATGACAATAATGATGATGATGATGAATGATGATGATGATGATGATGATGACGACGACGACGACGATGACGATGACGATGAAGATGACGATGGTGATGGTGATGGTGATGATGATGATGATGGTGGTAATGATGATGATGATGATGATGACGACGATGACGAGGACGATGGCGAGGACGATGACGATGACGATTATGATGATGATGATGATGATGATGATGACGATGACGATGACGATGACGATGATGATGATGATGATGATGATGGTGGTGATGGTGGTGGTGGGGGGGTCCCCCCCTTTCGCGTGAAAAATCACGTGATGTCCTTGAGCAGCCCCCGGAATACTTGCTAAAGCAAGAAGACTCCAGCTAGCTGACGCTAGCTTTCGTGATAAAGAACACATATTTAAAACCACCAAAATTTCTATGTCTTTTCCCCATCCCAAGCCCAAACTCCCATCATCCCAGGTGCATCGACGTGGTCTCGTTGCCTGCCGTCGTCCCCGCGGTGCCGTCGGGCCGGAAGGAGGGCGGCGCCGAGTCGCCGCCGCGGTCCTCTGGCGGCATCTCTAGCGCCTTCACGGGCTCCGGCGGCCGGGCCGCCCTTGGAAGGTGCTGAAAAGCCAGGTGGAGATACTTGGAGACTGGCAATTCATGGTATATACATATTATATAAATAAATGCACACACACAGCACGAATAATATTATTATTGTTATTATTATTATTATTATTATTTGTAAACTCTGAAAAACTGATGAGCATTGATGAACAAACATCATGGAAAGGATGGAATAGATGAATAGGATGGAATGAATTTAGAAAGATGGTTGAATGAGATTGACTTTGCATGACTTTTCGACATTTTTCGTGGTATCACACCATTGGACGGGTGCCTATCCCACAAATCTGGTGCTGCTTTGCGGCCAAGCCTCTGGACATCTGCAGTTGATGTTTGCTGCGACGCTGGTAGGCTCGCATCAACGGATCTAATCCTTGGCACTTTTAGATCTTTTAGGCTTTACTTCATGACATGTTGGTCGGATCTGGTTGAATCCTAAAGCGTTTGGATCATTGATGTTCGGGCTTGGTCCCAATTTCGGGTCTCTGGCTGGTAAAAATCACACTGTTTTCAGTGTTCATTTCTTCTTTCTTGGTGTGTGTGTGTGTTTTATCAACATATTATATAATGATATATAATGTGTTTACTCACTTTAGTCCCATGTGTGCAAAACGCCCCCCCCACACTTGGTTTTATCCGCAGTTTCATGCGTTTGCTCCTCCAGTTTTTGTTGCTTTGAACATGCTTTATCATGCATCATGCTGTTATTTCTGCTTAATCCCCATTTCAAGACTACCCCATATCATCGCATAGCTCCTTTCAAAGGCACATGTATATTGAACAATGATTCTATCGGAACCAATGTGATCCAATAAAACTCAATATATCCCATGGTATCCCCAAGAAAATCAAGAAATTGTTTCTTAAGTTTTGTTAATGTTGCTTATACATCCCCAGTGGTTGTGAAGGCCTTGTGAACCCCCATCCCCAGCAATCCCCAGCCATCCCTCCGCATCGCCACGCCGCTGCTGTGCCGAGCTGGGCCGTCGCGTGGGCGACGCCGCCCGTATGGCGCGGTGCTCGAAGGCCGAGGAGGGCCGGGGCGAGATGGAACGGCTGCGATCGCCGGCGACACGGACTTCTACTGGGGTGGGGGTGCCACCACGGGGCGTCAAACCAAAGAACCTTAGTTGCAGCAAATCATGGTGGCTGGAAAATGCTGGAAATCTCATGGAAATCACTGGGGATTGGGAGACCCTGAAAGGATTTGAACGAAGTGGGATGGTTGGTGGAGATATTAGTGGACATCAGGAGCTGCTGGATGGATGACAACTACGATGGTAGACAAAATGGTGAAGAACGTTCAAGATGGCAATAGCCCAGCATTTCTGGTTGGGTTAAGCCACCAAAAGCAACAAAATAAATAAATGTTGCAATTTCCTTACACTTTGCAAGGCCTACTAAAATTACTAAAGCCATCTAAAGCCTACTACTGATCGCTGTGCAAGGCACATGGGCGGATGGATGGAGGTCAATGGTGGCTGGACCTTGGGACCTTGAGACACGCGTCCCTTGATCTCACGAATCTCCTCGCCCACCTGTCATGTCACATCTGGACAGCAGCAAGCGGGGAAAAACAAAACATCATGGCATATCATGGCCATATATGGCCATGGTGATAATGAATGATGTGTTTTGATATTTCAACACACACACACACTCATGTTTCAAATGATACTTTACTGCTACGACGACGATGATGATGATGATGATGATGACGACGACGACGACGATGACGACGATGACGACGACGATGACGACGACGATGACTGAACAAACAGGTGGAAGACACATCATCACCACGAAGATACTTGTCACATTCAAACGGAATCAGATTTGAAGGAACATCAGCAAGCGGTCAACTGTCGACAAAGAATTTGTTCATCAACCCGCTTGCATACTTCTTATCGTACTGAATAGCCCACGTCACCCTGGCAACTCACTAGTGTCATCTAGTGTCAATGTCAATTGAAATTTGAAATTCGGACGCTCACGGGTCCTTTGGTTAGTGTATGTTAGTGTGATAACGACTCGAGTGGTGTAGTGCGGAGTTGCAATGGTATGTGAGATTCGAAGCTGGACGTCTTGAGGAACCCGCACATTTCTGCGCCTCAACTCAAGATTTTGAAACATCTGGGGTAACTGAAGTTTTAGTGTTGCAGTATGCCAACATGATCAACTCTCAGTTACCCCATTCCCTCAGGTTGGACGCTGACAGCCTCCTGTCCATCCACTGCGGCAGAGAGGAGTTCAGCCACTGACGATGCCAATCGCTCCGGATCTGGCCATTTCCGTGACTGCCTTGGGTCAAAGCGCAGGGGCTGGGTGGATGGCGCTGGTGCACGTGAAGTGTTCCAAATTGCGACTCTGCACTGATTACCAGCACAGTAGTATAGACATACGAAAAGGACATTGTGATAAATTATGTGCATGCGTCCATGCATGTATACATATTCATAGCATGTGTGAATAATATAGACACACAGCAGCAATCAACCTGGTGCTGCAGGCTAGTTCACCCTCTCCGAGTTTTTGAGTGACATGTTCAACTTCAATCCCAGTCCCAATGGCTACAAGTATTGATGGCATTGCTCAAGTGTTTGTGGGTGTCCGGTCGTGTTCCGCACCTGGCTTTGAGGCACCATCCACAAAAATCCGCTTCAGTTGCAAAACGTGGCAAACCGCATCCAAGCTGCAACTTGGACCAGACCTGGAGGACATCTGGGAGCCCAGAGGTCTTTGGCGCAAAGCCGGGTTGCACCACTACAAAGACCTCAAAGGAACCCAAGCGAGGATAGCGCACCTTCTCACCTGCAACAGGTGCAGGGCCAATTTCAGTTTCTTGGGTTCAGCGGGCAGAAGTTGATTCGTTCATCTCTTGCCACTGGGTTATACTGGGTTTCTGATGGTTCCCGGACAAGAGTCGGCGGCATCATTTTGACCAACTCATGCCAACTGATGTCAAAGGTCAATGAGTACTCCATGTCAGCAATGGCAGTTTTAGGCAGTTTAGGCAGTTCCCACTCGGAACCATGACCCCAACATGGGGGAGTTTTCAGATGTTTCACATCTGTTTCACCCAGGCCTTCGGTGGTGGTGAACCAACCCTTGCAGTTCCAGAAAGGCGAGCAGCCCTTTGGTGGCCCTGGGTTTGTTTTCAATTCCCAGGGTATGTCCTTCTCCTGGCACCACGAAAACCATGGACTTTCCCAGCAGAAATCGAACATCATTTCCCCTAGCAGTCTTGGCAACCATCCGAAATGAATGGATCCAATGCTTTAAACATCTTTAAACAATGGTTGCCAATTGGATGGTGTAACTATTCAATGTTGGGGGGAAAGGGTTGTAGAACACATATGGATAAACATGTGTCGCAAAACGTGAGCAAATACAGGCATGTGTCAAGAGTTGCGGTTTCCCATATTCATCAATATTCTTTGTTGAACCATCCGCGGCTTTTTGGATGCTGCATCTTGATTATTTTGATCCACGCCCAAGATGGCGCAAGCCCCGCTTGCGTCCTGCATATGCCTTTGCAGTTTTCTTTCTACTTCTTTGGCATATTCCATGTATCTCTCGACCTCAGAAAAGTAGCAAGCAACAATCCTATCAAGCATGGGCTTAGGCAACCAGTGTTACTGAATCACAATAGACAACCCTCCAATCAGTACATCAAATGCTTTCAGAATCTTGCAGCGCTATTGCAGCGCTATTGCAGCCAAGGAACCCGGTAGGTCGTGTGAAAAGAATTCTCATCATGATGTTCGATTTCTATTCTTACTCTGCCCCTCATGGGGTCCCTGGCACCGCCAATTTTGGCGGTCCCAGCTGGGCCCAGGAGCTTAGTCGGCACCAGACGTGCCGTCACCCTTGAGCCAGAAACGCAACAAGTTCAAGCCATCAAAATGAACCCTGCCTGATGAATTTAATTCTGGGCACCAGGATGGTTGAGGAAGTCCTTAGTGCAACTCCTTCTCTGGAGATTTTGCGCCTTTTATACACCAAGGTTCACTATGGTTCGTTAATATTCGTTAATCATGAATAAACATTTCCCAACCTGAAACCGAGCTATCCAGCTATCCACGTCCCTTCAATCTCACTCCTCTGGGATATCTTTGGCCACGGGAATGGTTTCTCGAGCCTGGTGTCAAGCAAGTCCAGGTGCCCCACCGCAGGGCCACCCTCCCATGGGACACACAGAAAGACCCCACACCTTGACAGCGTAGTAGGCATTAGACCTGCGGGCAACTAGGTGGCCGGCCTTGCAGCAAACTATATGCCACGGTGTATTGAGGAGGAACATGGAGAAACTTGTTCATACTCTTGCATCTACGAGCATCGTGCTCAAGTCACATCAGGCGGGAAAAGTCACATCATCCCCATGGCACGGCGGCGATACAGAAAGTCACATCAGGTAGTGGAAAGTCACATCAGGGAAGAAGAATCACCATGGCACAGCCTGTTTCATCTATAATTGGAGATTTACTTCAAAGTAGCCGAAGCATTGCGCACAGCGATGATTTTGAAGGGCACAAGTTAATACAAACAAATTCTCAGCAGCTAATCCATTGGATTTGAATATGTTATATTGATGTCGTTTCTTGGGCGGAATCCTCCGATATTTCCAACTCCGCTTGCACCTCATGTAGCTCTCTGACATCTTTGGCCTCAGCTATGTCGTATAATTCACGAAAAGGGTGGCCAGGGTGGCCGTTTTTTTTTTTTTTGTTTGTTTGTGATGGATAGCTATGTTCAGCACAAATACCGGAAACCATATGAAAAAATCGGACTCTGACAGTCTGAGGCATCGATGATTTTGAAAAAAAATGAGAAGCATCATCAAGCATCCGGCAGTTTGGTCAGGGTCTGACTTGGACAAGCAATGAATGGACAAAATAGAAAAACATCTGACAAGAACTGGCTGCAGTTCTAAGCAGCTGTTGAGAGTCTGCATTCTCCGACAGCCAGGAAATTGCGGAGAGCACCTTGGGCTGGGCACTTGGTTCATGGAAGCTGCTGGTCAATGATCAGCGATGATCAGCGATTGACGAGTGTGGAAAACTTGAAAATCCAATGACAAACCATCCCCGAGGTCACCAGAAATGTTTGGAGTACCCTCTGGTTATGACTAACATAGCCATGGTATAGATGGCCCATAGAAATAGATGGTTTACCGTTTACCTATTAAGAATGGTAATTTTCCATGGCTATGTCAAATAACCAGAGGGTAGGTTTGGGATGGTTGGGGAAACATTACATTTCCAGGAAACAAAAACGACATCCGCAGCCCATCCGCGACTGAGCATCATGCCATTGATGCTGTGCCTGGCGAAAATCTGAAGGATGACCCTGGCAGTTCTGAGGGTTAGAAACATGCAATGACCGTATCCAAGTTTAAAGGTATATAAGGTATCTAAAGGTGTTGCGAGCTACTGGGACGGAGCGACGGCAACAGGTAAATTTCAGGCTATTGGAATGCCTTGGAATGCCTTGGAATGCCAGTCATGGGTATATAGTTCGCTTATGTTTCGATTTTGACTATAATTGAATATATACCGAATCTATCCAAATCTCAACTTTGCAAGGAAATCAGGTGGCCCAATGAGCCCAATGGAAAGTGCAGGCCATTGCAGGCCTCCATCACCCCATGCGCTGAAGGCGTAAGCAGGTGCTGCAAAGCAGCAGAACACCTGGGCCATCTGAGTATTCATTTCAACTGATGTCAACTGATGATCATTGATTAGTGTCGGATGATTCTGATATAAGGTCTCAGCATGTTCCACCCCATCCCGCAATGGTGTGAACCAAATAGATCCAAATAGATTCACAATGATCCAAACAGGGCAATCCTGCCAAGTGAGGATACGCCAACAAAAATCATCAAACATCATCAAACATCCTTATATATTCTTCTTAATTATCAAAATTACGATTCAAAATTCAAAAACAAAGAGTTCACGCTGTGATGATATCTCTGCTGCATATCCCTCGCGAATTTCAGCTGAGAGGCGAGGAAAGGGTGTCCTGACAGGGCATGATAGTCCTTCATAATCCATCCTAACTCATAGGACGACAAGTCATATCATACAAAGGTCCCACGCTGATTGGTGGTTTCAACTCATTCCGAAATATTGGCCATTTAGGTTCATCATGCCAAGTACGGTTGAGAATAACATGTCAAACCACCTGCACGTCACTTGATTGCACACTGGGTGAAACAATCCAAGCCGAAACATCAAATCAGCCTCTGTATCGCAACATTGCTTGCCCCGCAGCTGAGCCGAAACAAAAAGGACATGGTGCTGGTGGGATGATGGACTCCGGTGGATCTGTGCGATGCTGGTAACTTATGGTGCAAGAAAATGCCGATAAATGCACACACACACATATATACACACACGCATATGTATATATATAATAATAATTAATAACAATAATAATAATAAATTGATATATATATATATATATTCGTCACCCAAAAAATCAGACAGAAGTTGGACAAAAGAAACGCATCATTCCGAATCATTCCTGCAAAAAATTGCTGGAATGCCCATTGAAACATGTGAACATGACAACATGACACCTCCCATCTTGTCTACACGGTCTATACCTTGCTAATGTCGTTAGTGGTTTGCAACAAATTTCAAATGCATTACATCTTCAGTTTTTTGAACATTCCGTGTCAGCCTTCATTTTTGATCATTTTGAGCTGCGTGGTCAAGCTGAACGCTTTGGCATTGGTTCAGCTTCTGGGCTGTCCAATGATTGCACTGAAGGAGCTGCCAGGAAAACGTAGGCATTGGGATTTGTGCGTGGAGATTTGCTGCTGATTCTTGGGAAATCCTCTGAATTCATCTGGTTGATTTCCTAAATGTTTCCTGCTCCAAATTCTCCAAGCTTCCAGGCCCCTTCTTGGGTCAGAGTTCCATTTCTTTCCCATTGAGACTTAGCCCAGGTCAACCCTTCAGTGATGGGGCGGCCAAACTTTGCGGCCTGCGAAAAGAGAGGTACGCTACCGCTGAACTGTGGCGCAAACCGTCATGAGCATCGGGCGATGAGAAATTCCAAAGATACTGCCGGACTCGTAGTCTGCAGGATGCTGAGTAAAAAGTTGGACATATACACATGTATCACACCATTCCGATCAATATGATATATGTACGTATATATATATTATATGTATCTGCCTGTGTACGAACGTGTTCACAGACATGTTCTTAAGTCTTGCAAAGGGTGAAAGTAGTTTAAAATAGTTTAAATATATCATGCAGCTGGACACTGATATCATGATAACTTCATCAATCAGAAGCATGAGCCACAGATCAAATTAGGAACATTAATCAGTGTGAACCTCTGTGTCACACGTTTCCGGTGCACACCCCTGAAATCGCCGAATTTCACCCTAGGTTGCGCTTGAAGTGGTCTGGCCTACCCGGTGGTTCATGGCCTGAACATAATCTAACATACGAGTACCAGCAGTGTGGTACCAATGAAACTACACCCAAGGATACCCAAGGGCTGCTGCGCCATATGATAAGAGATGATACTGTAACACATGGGCTGAATGTGGTAGACAACTTTAGTACCTAGACCCCCTGTGATTGCACAAGAGAGATGCAGTTCGCGCAGAAATCAGGGCTGCTATCAATGGTCTTGAGGGGCGATGTCAGAAGCGAATCTCACAGCTCTGTGGCTTCGTGGACCTGAGCGAGGTGCAATTTGGGATCCGATGGGCCGATGGGTCCCTTGGCTTTTCAATGGGAAATTACATTCCAAGGGTCCAAGGGTTTATAAACCATTATAATTAACACACATTAACTATAGTTATATCTACCAAAAACCATAGTTTAGCCAATGGAATCAGCAATTCATGAGCAATAATTTTCAATCTTATAAGGTCTGCGATATTTATTAGCTCCTGCGCTTCAGTTACCCAATGATACGGTGTAGTTCCTGCGCTCCCTGCAAAGAAACACCCGGCGAGTCAACATGTGTCACCAAACCGGCCCAACTCATCCTCATGCTCATGACTCTGGGAAAGACATTTAATGCAGAATGCACATCATGAAATTCGCATTTCTAGCATTTTCTAGCTGCTACATGTATAGGTTGCGTGCGACGCACTGAAGTTGATCTATACACCAGGATTGTTGGCCATGGGAGTGCTGCAAGGCACATCCAAACAGGTATTCTAGCACCTTTCCATGATTCGGCATGTTACCATTACCATCTCCGGTTGTGCTGCCAGATGATCCAGATATATCCAGATGCCGCCAGGCAACGTCGCACGGGCCTTCAGCAACTTTTGAGTCACTTGAACCGTCTTTTGTGTCAGTGGGTCCTGGCGGCATGTGAGCACTGTCCTGGGCCGATAGGTCTACACACAACATGGATCAGTGGATCTGGTGGCAGTTCCAATCCCACCTCAGCAATATCAATACGAGTCCCAATCATTTCAAATTAGGATTGAAAACAAAAGTCCCGAAGTAGTTTTGAAACATGAAGGCACCAATCAGTGAAAAAAGGGTCCCATAGATATCATAGATCCATAATGATCCATAGGACCAAAGGATGTCTTGGAGGGTAGCTTTCAACATCGACTCAGCCCCTCCTTCAGTAGGACTGGCTCATGAGTATCCCAGGCTGGGATGAGGCGGACCTTCAAGCCACCTCTGGGAATGATCCTGAGCGGTCAAACCACATAATGATGAACTGTGGGATTTAGATGGATTTAGGGGTGCCCTATTTGCAAACACACCCAAGCAGCAAAGTCCCAAGATCTCTGAAATTTTGCCATGAACAAATCGAACCACTCCAACCCCCGGGTTTTAACAGCTTAAACATGCTCAAGCCAACAGTTCTGCTGAAAATTGGAGGTCATGGGCATGTCCTGGCCCATGGCTGTCCATATGTGTCCATCATTTTAGTTAACGATTCAAGTGCTTTTTGGCGTGTTGAGGCTGCCACTCTGCCAGCTTCCCTTCTGCAAAGAGCCGGCTCCTCAAATGCCAACAGAAAGGGTTGTTTCAGAAATCGGAGCCCATGAATTTTCAACCACCACCGAACTCCTTCGCCAAGCGGACAAATAGCAAGACCAGTTATCAAGATACCACACTGGAAAAACACCGTTCTCAATTTAGAGGTAAGACTTGAAGCTGTTCTCAGTAAAGTCGGTTGGAATATGTTGGAAACCAATATGAACCATCCAATCCAACATATAGCTTCATAAATTATGGTTCATATTGAGTTCATTAATTGGTTCATATTGGTTCAATATACCCTCTGGTAATTTAACATAACTATGGAAAATCACCATTCTCAATGGGAAAACTCACTATACATCACCATTTTCAATAGCAAACTGTCAGCTATGTTGACATAACCAGAGGGTACCTTGTTGGGGTACCAATCCTCCAATCCCCCGTCCGCGACGACCCACGTTTTTCAAGGCGCCACTCCGAGGGATCCGTGCGCTTCTTGTGCCACGCCGTGAGGTCCATGGAGGCCGGCGGCTCGAAGCCTCAACGACCGGCCAGTGGCCGAAACACTTCACGGAGAGAGATGTACAGATATGGGGTCTGTACAGTGTGATGACCTACTATATACATATAGAATCACGCACACACACACATATATATATATATGCATACATAGAATGATATAGATATGATTGGATATGATGTTTGGGGCTGTTCGAAAACTTTGAGACCATTCAATTCCACCTTTCTAATTGTGTAGTTTGGCAGGGGGAAGCCATGGCACCATGTTTCCTACCAGGAGCCGATTTCACTTTTGGGCTAGACATTGGGTGGACTGAAACTGAAAACCACCAAATCCATCCAAATCCATGGTAGGTGACCACGGGCCACTTGAACTTGCGGCCCGGGCCATCTGGGATCCGATGCCATACCCTGGCCACCAAAGATAGAGAAGTCAAGAGAGCCCTGAAACTGAAGTAAGACTTCACTTCCATACCTTCTGGCACTGCAAAGACCTGTCAGCATTTAAACTCATGTGGCCCTTTCTGTTCTTGACTTTTTTGGTGCCAGGTGGAAATGATGGTTGGTGCTTGAAGGGCCAATGGTTTTTATTGGGGCGGATTTGGACCGGCCAAAACAAGTCGGAGCAGCGTGAGGAAGGGGTTGTAGTAGGCCTCAGCACTTTAAAAGTTGAAGCCCTTGCTTTCGTACTCAGGAGGCCACGGAAAATGACATGCATCGGACATCAGCATCGAACCTCCTCGGCAAGAAACACCCCCCCAATTAAACATGTGGTCCCTGGCTTTCTCGTGGCCTACAAGTGCTTCCATATTTCACTACTTGTTGGAACTCAGAATCTCCTCAACAACATGCTGTGTCTCTGCATCGTGTAAAGTAAATCTGTACAAAATTCAAATGGGATCTTCGATCGTGACATTGCTGGTGGGCTGGTTGGGATTTAAGGTCATCATTGTAGAGATTTATCTTGTTTGTTTCTGCGCCGAGTGCTAGAATGTTACGGTTAAGTTTTGTCTTGTTCCCAACCCCTCCACCCTCAAAAAACCTCCGCACACCATCTATGGAACTGCCCTATTGCAGACCTTTTGTGCTTGAGAATGTCTTCTACTTGCCATTGGATAAAGTGTTGGATTCTTTTTCAGCGGTTTTCTAGGTTCGTCTGTTTCCTGATTATTTCTGTAGCTTGGCCATGCAGTGTCACATTGCTCGAACCTTTCCATTCCATCATCCTGTCCAGCTTTCCCTTCCACAGCAAGGCAGGTAGACTCAAAGACATGGAGTTGGCATGATCTTGGAGGAAAGTGAATGCGGAATGCGCCTCACTCAAGATATCAGTTTCCACTCTGACACTTCTCTGAGTTTCCTGCCCAAACCCTTTTGTCTGTGTCATCTGCAACGGCTGCAGCCTTGTCATATGCCGCCGCCCTTAGTGGCCATGATTTTCGAGGGCCACAATGGGCTACTGCACTTTGAGCAAATATTGTTACGCTCCATGACATGTGGATCAAAACCCAAGTAATTGGCAACACTACAAAATCCGAACATGAGGAAATCGATGAAAATCATACGGAAATAACATAGGAAGACTACGGACATCATATATTATACAACATCTATCGGCTAGTGCCCTTGAGTTTGATTGATCTTCCTCAAATGTGACCCACTCCCAACTTGCTAGGTTTCGAGCCGTGAAGTTCCTAACTCGGCATCTGGCCTTGGTGAAACGGGGTGGCCAACAAATGTTGTCAAAATGTTGAAGATGTTTTCATCCATTTTGCATAGGCCAGGGGATCTCAAGGATGATTATTTCAGATTCCCTTCCTAGACCAAACATGGATGCTGTCAAGGAGTTTTGAGGTTTGGCCACTGTCCAAATGAAGGGCACTATAGGATAACCAAATGATGTCAAGCAAAGATGTGTGCTTCTGAAAACCTTTGGCATCCTGCACGCACTCAAACCCTGTGATTCGGCACACCTTTGGGACCCACTGACCCACTGCATCTGCTGTGGATGTCATCTCCCAAAGTCTGAAGCCTCTGATGCTTGCACAATTCCTTTGCATCCCTTGTTCGGTTTTGTTCATCTTTCAATGGTTCCAACAGCAGATGGTCAATTTGATCAGGTTTCAACTGGATTGCAAGTTCATGATATATGTCCGGACAGACTTTGTTGCGGATGCTTCAACCCTTGGAATATCTTCAGAACAATGGCAACCCCGCTCTGGTGACATGCTGGGTATCCGCTGCGCAGGGATCAGGGCCGCGGCCTGCCAAACCGGGGCGCATTCTGTAAACTTTGTTTGCTTAGTGCACGATGTGCACGTCTTGTTGGGATCTCTTTCATGCTGAGTTCCGGGAAAAAAATGGGAAAAAACACATCAGTCATCAGGAAATCTTCAAGAGCTCTGAGCACGTGGGCAGTCGATCTATCCAAATCTCGGAAAACATCGGATGAGTCTTGGCGTGACTCCTGGCCACTGACCTTCATGTATGCTTCCCCAAACCTGATTTTGCTTTGGGATGTTTGGGGACTCGGTGAATTTTCTGCACACACGATGAATAACTTATAATTTATATCACTGCTTGAACCATCTTGACATCATCAAGTCAGTTTGCTTGTCAGATTTGTCAGGTAGAGTTCGACCTCTTCTACCAACTGGATGTACTATCTATTGGATATCATCGCATATTCATGATCCAAAGCCTGTTTTTTCCCATTAAGTGATACTAAGTGTGGTGGTTCCCATGTGTTTCTCAATCACCAACAGCACCTCCGGGCCCCTCGGCACCTTGGCCTTGGCTTCTCTTGCAAGCTCCTTCGCCTGAACTAGGAGCCAAACATGACGGGGATATCATCCGACATGACGGGATAGATTATGATCTATCAATATACCCAGTAAAAAATATATGTAAACATCATTAAAAAACAATGGGCGTATATTTTTCCAGCACTCAGAAGCTTGCGCTGCGGCTGGCGCAATTTCTGGGTTCATCGAAGCCTAGCCTCATTCATCTTACCCCTTGAAATGGAAGCAGAACAACCAGATGGAGCAGAACAAGTGTGTGTGTGTGCGTGTGTGATACATAAATGTAAAGAATATTGACACACACACACACACATATATATATATACATAATTATGTATGTATATATATATATATAATTAATAATTATGTATATATATATATAAATATATGTAGACAGACTCATGTAGTTATTCATTTAAACATCTCAAAGCATTAGTAGCTAAGCACTCCTCTGGGGCCCTGCCGGGGAACCCTGCCGGTAGGCGAGTGGGATATGGATCCATGTCTTTCATTTTCGTCGGATCCTGCACAGGCTGGGCGCAGGATTGGACCAGCCAAATTCAACGAGCCAACCCCTCTAGAAGCCACACCGATTGCCAAATCACCCGAAAAACAAGGAATTAAATGAATTAAGATGAATGGGGCATGTCTTCCATTGAATCGATGCTGCTCGAAGGTCTTGGAAGGAATTGGATTTGACCACCTGGCCGACCCCAAACTCACCATGGTACCGCCCAGCACGTCCCACAGAGAACACCGGTCATTGGCCAGGTAGTACTTGTAGGCGTAGAAGGTGCCAAAGAAGGCTAAAATGTACAAAGGAATGCGATCCCCGGCCCATGCCTCAGTGTCTTGGAAGGCAAGATAGCTGGGGCTAGAAGAGGTGACGAAGAACCGTTGTCACCATTGTCATCGTTGTCACCATGATCATGATCATGATGATGATGATGATCATGATGATGATGATGATGATGGTGATGGTGATGGTGATGATGATGATGATGATTATTATGGTGATGATGATGATGATGGTGATGATGATGATGGTGATGATGATGATGATGATGATGGTGATGTTGATGATGATGATGATGATGGTGATGATGATGATGATTATGATGAGGATGACACTGACGATCCTCCTCCTCCTACCTACCATCCACCACATTCGAGAATTATGCGAATCACTGGTTTACCGCAGTGCTGAGCTTAGAGGGTTGCAATCGGATACACCGTTGAAGCATTCTTGAAGGAGGCGTTGGGCTATGCGGGCTCGGCTAGAAAACAGATGAAAACAGCTGGACACAACTGGGCATGTGAGAAATTCGACCCATACGCTGTCTTCAAATATCTCCAGACATCTGCATGCATCCCTCTCCTCTCTGTATATCTACAACCTAATGCAACACGACATAGGTCATGTCATGCATGATGCAGGTTCTGATAAGTGCTGGGTCGCCCTGACAGTTGGTACTACTTGTGGTCCTGGCAGGCACAAGTCGTGTCAGAAACTGTGCAGGGTTCGCTTTCCACAAGTCCGACCGCGTCTGACTGAGTCGGTCGGGATACACTGGAAGCATCTCTACCGTGCACTCATCACTTACACAATGGACCCGGAATTTGGTTGTGATTCTAGTGAAGGCAAGAGCTGGCAAGAGCCATCCTGCATCATGCTGCACTGGATCCTGCCTTCAAAGCCTGGTGGTGGTCTGCGATCGCGAGAACTTCTTCCACCCATCTGTTGCACAAGGACACATTATTGCCATAAAGAGGCTGGAAGTTTCAGGAATCAAGCGTCGGAAGGGGATTGTTTTATCTTTGACCACCATATACCGCCATGCTGCATCATATTAGAGGCGGGCAACCTATATATTTAATCATTATACGCAGTATATAATTATATTATCAAATATATATAATTATATATATATATTAAATATTATAATGATATTATATGATAGACTTTGGCACTGTTCCTTCATGCTGCGCCATCTTTCTATGCACACAAACTCCACATCTGGGCTGGAACCTGCTCAGCAATCACTGAGCTCCCAGGCAGGGTAATTGTAAAGTTTCGCGCGGGCTGCCTCTGACAAACCCTCACCTAGCACGAGAGCTGGGAAAAACAACATGCAATGCAGTGTAACGTCATCGTCGTCAGCCCACACCCCAAAGGAAATCGTTTCAGGATGGTATATCCAAAAGTGGATTTACAAGGCAACATCGGAATGTTTAACATTTAATATCATTTAATATCATTTAATAACATTTCATGATGTTTACTTATGAACATCCACGCATTGGGGGACCTTAAACCTCAACTCTGGCCGCACTTGCCTTCACCACGTGGCCATGTGTCAGTCGTGTCTGCCCCGAAACGCGCACGACTTGCCTTGCCAAAATGCTGGACGAGGCACGAGGGTGAAGAGGTTTAATAAATTTTAATAAGGCAGCAAAAAGGTGTAACACTCTGAAAATCTCTGAAAGGTTGACAGTGTCATTGCTGAACTATGCCGAAATATGCGGACAAAAAGGTGGACGGCCCTGTTGGGCGAAAATATTTGCTGGGACAACCGATGCATTTCAATCAGCAGCCCAGGAGTGCCAGGGCCCAGGCTTGTCTGTCATGCCTTGGAAAATTGCTCAGCAACCCAGCGGCTAGCCCTGACTAACTGTATTCCGCAGGAAGGTCGGTGCTACAATGTGAAAGTGGGCTACCCGGCACAATATGCACAATTGCGTTTTCTTCTGAGGTAGCATAGCCCAGACATCCCCAGACTGTATGGAGGCTTCTCCGAAACATCTGGGAACATGTGGTTCGATACTGGCAGTCACTCGGTACCCCAAGCTTTCACACAAGATAGTCCTTGACAATGGATTCCCATGAGATCCCATGAGCAATGGGCAGTTTGGTTGTAAACTTTGTATGCTTTTGTTCCGTTTATCTAGGATTCAACTGTACATAGAGGTACTCCGATTGAATGATTGGATTCAAAAACCGAACCATTACAGTACCCTCTGGTAATTTAACATAGCTATGGAAAATGGCCATTTGTAGTGAGTTTTCCCATTAAACATGGTGATTTCCCATAGTTATGTAAACGTTTACCAGGCCGGGTACATCAGAATAGCATCCCAGAAGCCCAAGACCCCGTCAAGTCCCAGGTACTCGCCGCGTTTCTTGGGATCTCGCAGGATCCGGTAGGCCTCCACCATTTCTCGGAAGTGACTGTCCTTGCCCTTGGCAACATCCGGATGGGTGATCTTGGCCCGGTCCTGGAAAGCACCTGATCGGTGTCAAGCTGTCTACGCACCTCTTGTACCCTGGGGATGTGTTTTAATACCCCACATGCTCTAAACAATTCATGCAAGGAACCAATTTACCATTTATAATGCTATAATTAAAATCTACGCTTCAATAAATTGTCATAGACCCTGCCAGATAGAGGTTGGAAGATAAGTTTCCACTAAAAATGGCTCGTTTTCAGGGTCTATGTTAATTTACATTAATTTACCAGCGGGTATCTATCTATCTAATCTATTCTATTCTATTCTAATCTATCTATATCTCTATCGATATCTCTATATATCTTTCTACCTATCTATCTATAAACAATGATAGCGATTGAATCATGCTTCATCCAGAACCGCACAGCTGCCGTTAGTACACCCAGCCCTTCGCCACAGCCGCGATCAGCCGCGGCACGTTTGATCTCTGCAGTGGTGGCTGTTTCTGAGACACCAAGGACAGCGTATGGGCATTTCCTGCTGCAATTGCTGCGGGTTGTACCCTCTGGTAATTTAACATAGCTATTGAAAATGGCCATTTATAGTGAGTTTTCCCATTAAAAATGGTGATTTTCCATAGCTATGTTAGTTTACCAGAGGGTAAGGCCCGTGGCCTGCTAACGACTTCCACTCCCTGCTTTCTGGTCTTTCTATGGTCTAGCCCGTTCCACCTGTCATCTTAACACTGGAACCTTCTATTCTGCATCTCTGTACCGCTGATGGATTCTCAATGGACCATGGTATATCCAAATTTCAGCATGAGCCGAAACCAATCAAGATTTGCATGACTCAATTTGTCTCAGTGGGTGAACGCAACGCACAAACACACACAACCCTAGCTATAGTGTTGGATCACTAAGCCGTCCATAAGCCGTCCATGGGACCATGGGAACTGCTGAACAGCACACGGGAAGGGAATGGTCACAGCTCCCAACACAGGCATTGGTGAACTATCAACGAGATTCAACGAAATTCCACAAATTAATCCCATATCAAGCCATGTCAAGTCCATATCCGGGCATGATCCAACCGTCACTACCACCAAAAGCACCCGTCTTTCATGGCCAAGCTTCTGGACACGTAGAAGCCGCGAGAGCCGCAGCATAGCAACAGGGGCTGCTGGCTTTGAATCTCGCCCAAATTTCTAACCTGTTTTATAGTTGAGACATTTGGCAGACGAATTATGTCGAAGCCTCCCAAAGTGATTGGAAGAACATTGGAAGCTTTGAAGAGGTTTAGTGGATGGGTTTGAGTGAGCTGGATTGCAGGAACAGCTCTCAGTCTTGTTGTTTTGGCGGTGGTGAGGTGGTATAGCCAACTCTTTCAAACAACTGTCTTTATGAAAGTATCAACTGTTGATGGCAGCTTCTGCCTGTTGCAACTGATTCATATGATGATAACTTAGCAAACATTAGCTAAGCAGTGGCTCATGGAGGAATTAACATGAGGGAGCCAAGAAGCAAAGGCCATCGGCAGCCCGGGAAGTCTGGTGTGTGTGTGTGTGCGCTGCAAGGTGGTGTGCAACATAATGTTAATCGTTGTTTTGCCATCGAGAGGACACATTAAACAACCATCATTATGGAATCCATGCGTTTGTGTGAACCTAATATTTCATCCTGGAATCCGTGGTGCAACAGTTGGTGCCTGGACGGGGTACATATTAGCAACACATATTTGCCATCTACCTACCTATGATTCCATCCATCCATACATCCATCCGTCCATCCGCAACTAGATTTCTAGATTCTAGGTTCTGGATGTCTACCTGAACCATCTTAATTTCCAAAAAAAAATGCGCGCATTATATAAATCAAACTATAGAACCATGTAAGAATGCATATCATATATACATATATACATATACATACATACATATATATATATATATCAGAATGCAAAATAAAGGGTTCATGTTGCTGTCATTGCCTCATAGACTTCATCATGCCCAGATATCCCCAGATCCAGTCCCCAAAACCCTTCAGGTTGGTATCCGCATTTTGCCACCTTCAGGCGGAATGAGTTTCTCCACGAAGCTTCAGCACCCCATAATACTTGCCATGGAGCGCGGCGCTACCTCCTAACCCATGCGGATTGTGTTTGCTAATATCAGCTAATTATTCCATAAGCTAATTATCCCATAACAACAAACGGCAATGATCAGCGGTGACAAAAAAAATCAAAAAATCATCGAAGGCTGGACGGCACTTAAGCAGTTTGGGTCTGGCACTGCAAAAGGCTCAGTTTCCTTTTCAAGGAACTGAGGTGTCCGAGAAAATATCGCACCAGCTGCTTCGCTGAGGGTCCGAGTCAACTGTTCCAAAATGGGAAAAGATGGGAAAGGGATGGTTACTGGGTAGCCTCCCGGTTGCTTTCGTGAAAGCGGAACTGGCTATTGTCCTCATCCCAGTTTCGCCTGGTGGCAGTGCATTCCAAATCTTCTCGCTTTCCACCTGGGGCAGTTGACAAGTCACGGGTTTCGCCAACGCGACGCATGGTGTATCTCTACTCAAAAAAGGTGAAACGTGCGGACTTCCGATCAAGAGATGTCCGTAGGCACGAAGCTTGATCCGGTACCTGAAAGCGAATTGCAAAGCTTGGATTTTTTTGCTGCCCTTTACGTCCTGAATCGAACGGCGCAAATGGTGCATATATATATATACATTTATATACTATATTTTTTTATGTTTACATATGCATAAGTATAGCGTGCTTTAGCTATAACTTGACCAATTTAATCTCTGAATACTATAATATGGGAGGGGCTTGTTGCCAGCGCTGGAAAATTGGAAAGTAGGCTTTCCTCATGTTCTTGTATCCTTTGGGAAATGGTCATTATCAATAGGATGTTTAAAAGGAGGAGGCCTGACCCAGAGAAAAGCACATATTCCGCTGTAAAATGTGCTCCTTCAGAACAATAGTAGTCATTAGGTTCAAAACGTGGCAAATTCCAAGAAGAAATTCCACCCTAGAAGAGAAAACAGGATATATCTCCACTTTGAAGCATTAGGTGCAACAGAATATGTATGTAACATAAAATGCGAAATTACAGTGGAATACAGTGGACAAGTTCAGGTAATTCTCATAAACAATAGTTATTGAGTTGCCCGTGTTTGGCTTAAGACTGGTGGGGGGGGGCCGGAGGGGGAAACGGAGGGGGGGGGTGGTGCACGGCAAGGTGCTAAAATTTCAAAAATAGGTGCTCAAATTACGAAATAGGTGTTTTTTTTAAGAAACCGGTCGGGACCCAATCGGGCACCAATTTTTGCATTTTTGGGCACCGCTTTTGTCGGGATCCAGTCGGGATCCAGTCGGGCACCAATTTTCGAATTTTTGGCACCACGTTTGGACCTGTCGGGAAGCAGCCAAAATCACCCAAAAACATGCAAAAACACTGCAAAAATGCTATTTTTTATGAATTTGGCTGCCTCCCGACATGCCCGACTGGATCCCGACTGGATCCCGACTGGATCCCGACTGGATCCCGACTGGCCAAAAGCGGTGCCCAAAAATGCAAAAATTGGTGCCCGACTGGGTCCCGACGGGATCCTGACTGGATCCATAGATCGGCAAGAACCCACTCCCGCACCTATTTTTCCCTTCCCAGACCCACCCTTGCCCCTATTTTCCTTTTCCGCGCACCAGCCGTGCACCAATACCCCCCCCCTCCTGCACCAAAACGGCAAAAGCAGTCTTAAGCCAAACGGGGGTTCTACAAAATAGTTATCCTTCTTTTTGTGTGGCAAACATCATGAAAAATGGAAATATATTGGTTTGAAACCTTGGGATACACTGCTGTCATGTTTCCATATGATTGTGGTACAATACCACATTTTTTTGAAAAAATAGGTGGTCTTTGAAACACAACCTTAATTCATCTACAAGGCCTATTTCCGCTGGACAATTAAGGGAACTCCCTGGTGTTTTCAAACAGGTGTGGAAGTACATAATAATGTTGAATGAGTTTGGGCTGCGCAGTCCAGCAGTTGACCAAAGAAAATGCAACACATTGAGCTAAAGGCAAAATTGCAAACAATATCAGGCAATGCAGTTTTTTTTCACTTGCCTTCATTGCCCAAAGAGACATATCTGCATATAGTCTATTGAGTTGTATGCCTGTGCTACATGCCCAGCAAACAATGCTTTGAAGAAATGAGGTTCTTCAAAGAAGTGCAGTTTTTCTTACAAAGCATCCACTTCAACAAAAAAAATGTTGTCATTTACAAGCTGGTGGTTGCTTTTGAGCGAGTCAAATGTATTTTCAGGAAGAGATCTTTTTGTGACGGTTGGATTTTTAAATATGTGTTATCTACGATGTGTTTTGCGTTCTCAAGTGCAGATTTACCATCCTCTTCCTTTATCATGGTAACATTCCTTCAGGCAGATGCTGTTTTCTTCAAAGGTTTAATACTTAACTTAAAGTTGCAATCGTATTTAAACAGTTTTGTTTAAACATCAGGAAAAACATCGTGTCAAAATATGCAGTGTGCCCTTTAAAGATGTAACATTCCTCTCAAAGAAGCTCATCTGGCCATTATGTTTGAAAAACACACCAATTTCTTAAAAAAAATGTAACACTCCTTTCAAAGAAACCCAGCTGCCACCTGTTCGGAAGGAACACGGTTTGTTTGAAGGAAATGTTTTACTAACCAACAAGAAACTTGAATCAGCTGCCTCCTTTGAAAATTACACCATGGTTTGAAAATATGTAACAATCCTCTCAATCACACCATTTCTTTGTAAATATGTAACACTCCTTTCAAAGAACTCCAGCAGCGCTCTACTGGGACAGGAACACCATTTATTTGAAGGCATGGTTTCCTTCACCAAAAACATAATTTTACATTCCAAAGGCTTCACACCTTAAAAAGGAAAATTGCACATACCCACGGAATACTGCGTATGTTTAGCATACAATATTATATTTGTTTAATACTTACTTGACAAATCTGGATTAATCCTAAGGAATCAAACGCCCAAAGAAACCAGAAAAAAACAATGTTTTCCAGGCTAGTCTGAACATGCCTAGATCATCCTAGATCCAAGTAGTCCCCAAAACATTGTTGTTGTTTGTTTGTTTGTTTTTTGGTTTTGTTTTGGGTGGTCAACCAAGGCTTGTGTATGGACAGCAAAGGTCAATATTGTTCGAGACCATGTAATATTTTTTTGGAAAACAAATGCCTCATGAGAATTCAACTTAAGTGATCAAGATTAATCTGGATTAATCTGGATTAATGTTGGCTACCGATTAGTGTGATGGACCTCTATTGTGGAAGAAAAACCAAAATAATTCAGTATCCTGTGGATGGTGGGGGTGGGCCTCTATTGTAGAACATGTTTTTTCTCAGATCCATTTTTTTCAGAAGATTTATCCACCTTTATATACCTTTCTTTGGGTAGAGCTGGTCCATTTACTTTAGAAAGCCATATTCATGTTAAAACCTTGGAAATGCAAGGTTTCCCAAATAATTAGATGCCTTATTAAACCCTTATCAAAAAACAGCACCCAAACAATTTTTCAACTGGGTACCCCATGAGTGACCGAGATCCTCAACAATGTAATTGTTTCGATGGTACTCTATTTTGCACAAAAACTTTTGGGGTGAAAAAACACAAACCTTTTATCCACCTTTCTTTGGGTAAAGCTGGTCCATTTACTTTAGAAAGCCATATTAGATGCCTTATTAAACCCTTATTAAAAAACAGCACCCAAACAATTTTTCAAGGGGGTACCCCATGACTGGCCCAGATACTCAATAATAGAATTGTTGGGATGGCACCCTATTGTGCACAAAAACTGTTTGGGTGAAAAAAAATAAAAACGCATAAATTAATAATTGTTGATTATATATAACTTATTGGCAGTTCCGGCGCTGGCAACAAGCCTTTCTGGGTAATATGTGTATATAATTGTATAATATTGTATATACATATAGAGAGAGAGAGAGTATAAGTTTCGAATCCATTTGCATAGTCCCCGTGGAACACCAACTTCCCCCGGTTTCTGCTTGGCCTTTAATTCGAAGGGGCGGATCATTCAATCAAAGTTGAAAGAGTCCTTGTTCCCAAACCTGCAACAAGCCCCGGACAAAGGTGATGAGATTGGCAACTGCAACGAAGACAACTAGGATGGAGTAGAGGAAAAACCTAGATTACCTATTGATAACATAGTATATGCAACAGTGAAGCAGTTGCCAAAGATCCTAAGTATACATATCTGAATCCATATCCAAAAAGAAAGAACGCAAATAAACCAGTCAGTCCAAAGAGGTTTCCAGAATCCCATCGGGTGCTCAACGTGCTCAGGATTCAAGGCCAAATTTCAACAAGGACTCACAATCGAAGAACATCGCTAGAGAAAGTTGCTTCAGGTCTGAACAAACACATGAAGAAAAACGCATTTCACATCATTTCACCAAGTTTTCCATAGTGTTCCGAAGATTTTGGATTTGGCAGTGTGTCAAAACCAATAGTACCCCTGTAGTTCACATCAAAATAGCTGGTAAATGGATGTTCATCCCCCTAATAAACTGTATCTATAGGTATTGATCCATACCCATCTAGCTCCAGTCCGAGCCGGTTAAAACGGCGCCCGGCCTTGACTCTGCTCCACGCGATCGCGGCCTGCCCCCTGTGTTGGAGCCGCTGCCGTGGTGACACAATCTGAATGCCTTCACCATGGAAAATCACCATGTTTAATAGGTAAACCATGGTAAACCATCTATTTCTATGGGCCATCTATACCATGGCTATGTTAAATAACCAGAGGGTAATAAATAAAGAAATATACTAGCATAATAATAATAATAAGACATAATCACACACACACACATATATATATATACATATTAAGTGTGTATATATGGAAAATCGAAAAACTCAGGAAAGGTCCATGTCAACCAGTGGCTTTGGTCCAAAAAGGTGTGGGACAAAACACACTTTGGAGATCTTTGGAGAATTTCTTGTGGCACTTCGTTAGTTTATATTTTCAGTCGAGCTTCTATCCGTCGCAACGCCCTCTGCAAATATGGCCATCGCTCTGCGTCCCAAACCTGAACATGCTGCAAGGGTGGCCAGCTGCCCTGTGCTGCTTTGGGATGCTTCGGGGGTCTAACCCTATGGATCCTATGCGTTTTAATTCCTAAATTAAACCCGACTCTGTAGTCCAGGAGTCCGGCACTGAAGGCATCATAATCATCATAGTTAAGGAATCGGCTTGCGGCTGGTTGCTCTGACTGCATCTGATTGCATCATGTTGCATGCAGTTGATGGCTCCATATATGGCTCCTGCATATTACATGGTTTTCAGTGCTACTGTTAATGAAAAGCATGCCACAACCTTCCGCTGGCCGTTCCGATCCGTTCCGTCCTCTGGGCTCAGTCCCTCGTCTTGCACTCCAAGTGGCATGAAGCTGCTCCGCCACCTTGCCAAGTTGAATGAGTTGACGCCGCATATCCAGGGCAGTGGCGTTCCCTCTCCTCGGTCATGGCGCATGGCACAAGGCATGGCAGGATCTATGGCAGCCAAGGATAGCCAAGGTACATGGCCATGCTGTGCTCGATGAAGGCATCGATATCCACTTCCTGCTTGATGTTGTCATATGTTTTCCGTTACGGCTTGTGAAAATTGGCTGAGGAATGCCGCTGAAAATTGGCCAATGCTGGGAAAAATGAGCTGGAGATAGCTGGAGTGAATCTTAAGGGAAATAGAGTGTACTGACTGTATCTGACTGTTATTCGCTACTCGGCTCCTCGCAGTTGTCAGCGATGATATCGAAGAAGTGCTCAGCATCGTGCATTTCAAGAGCCAGGGTGTGCATGTACGACACGATACGGTCCTTTGCTCGTTGCCGAGTCGGTATCCAGCATGGGACAGTACGTATTTCATGTTTGGAGTTCTGCCGCTTGCTTGTATCCTTGTATCAGTGTGGCCCACGCAACCCCTATGTGAGAATTCCCCACCCTACAAACCCAGTCTTGGCACCTGTGGAGCACCTTGATATCTTCGAATGATATGCATACTTGAACAACTGGTTGGTGGTATACCTACCCCTCTGAAAAATGATGGAGTTCGTCAATGGGAAGGATGACATCCCATATATTCATATAAATTCTGGAAAATAATGGCGCCATGGACACCAAACATTTTCAAACCACCATGTTCCAAGTCACATCTTTCATGGCGTTAATGAACTCCGCCTTGCTGATCCTGCCGGAGCCATCCTGGGTGTTGGCAACGCTGCCGTGGGGTAGCCTTGGAGCAAATTTCACCGATGCCAAGATATGCCAAGTGTCAGTATCGAGAGCCTTGAAAAGTGATCGCAATTCTTCCACCTGCTTCAAGAGTTTTTTCCTCTCCTCGGATGGGCTACGAAGGGCTCGATGTTTCGTTTGCGTTTCGGATGATCTTTGCTCGGCTCCCTGTGGCACTAGTCTAATGATCTCAAAATGGGAGAGTTTGCTGGACAAGAGTCCGGAGTGTCAGGAAGAGATGTCATAAATGCAAAATCACACATGTTACCGTCATGTTACCTGCATTTCGTAAATTGACGACCCTCAAATCCACCCAGCCATGATCTATCATGATCTCTTCTCGGGGATAGTAGGGATGGGATACCCGAAAGTTCGCAGTATTCCAACATATTCCAACGTCCCACTACCGTTGTTTCCACCATTTTGTATCATATTCTCATGATCACTGATTCATGCTGATTCTGAATCAACTTGTTGATATCGTTAATATCGTGAACAGTGATATTCACTATCATGACGTACCTTTTTCCGGGTCTGTAGCCTTATTCATCTTATTCTGTACATACTGTACTCATTGCTGTACTCACTACTGTGATTTTGAGCATTCACATTTGTTTTGATACGGTTTCGCCATGTCTGAATGATTCCCTCAAGTCTGGCCAGGATCCTCGTTAATGAGCTCCTCCCGATCTGGAAGAGAAGCAGCAACAGCCCTCTCCTGAGGGGCTGCTAAAGACTTAGACATGTTGATCAAAACTATACCGGAAAAAAGGGCCGAAGAACGGGATCTCCCCTTTATTAAGGCTATTAAGGAAGCTGGGGAGATGATGCGACATCATGCCACATGAGGCCATATGATGCCATATATGCCACCTTTTGCGTTCCAGTCCAGCGATAAAAAGGGAGGCCCGGAAGATGGTTGCTGATCGCTTGGTGTCATCCGACTGATTCTGATCCGTTCTGCACAGAGACATGGAAAGCATAGTCAATCAATACAAACATGTACCCTCTACAAAGCACCAATCAGGAATCACCAACCTCGCTAGTTTGTGGCGAGTTACAACGAACACTCCCGTCAAGATGTTGAAGAGGGCCTCAAGTATCGAGGCTGCAACGTGCATCGTCCGACTCGGTATGACCAAGTTTTCCAGGTCGGATGTGCCCGTTGCAGCTGGGCAGCAAAAATAAAGAAGAAGGTATAGCTCAGAAAGACTGCAGGATAAAACGAGCCGATTTGTGTCATGATGATGTAGTACATAGACCAGTCGTTGCCACCAGTCACTGAGAGGTACAGGGATAGCCTTGGCAACGAACAACAAACACTTCCCATTGATCCAGTGTACAAGTGAAATGATCAATGAGCAATTCGCATCTTCAGGGTGGTTTATCAGACCATCAAACCAACATTCTTCAAACCCCTCAGATGGCCACTCTGAAGTGCAACTTCCAGTAGCATGGAATCACCCACTGAACCAAAGGAGTCCATCATCAGCTCCCGGTCCTCTTCTGAGAAGGTCCACACCTCCTGCCACGACAGGTGGCCATATGGAACACATGGTGAACAGATCCGAATGGACAGCCCAGGGGCCTATCGGGCACTGGAGAAAAGTCGATGAATGTCAAGAAGCGTGAGGTCCACTTGAAATATCTTGGATATATTCAAATATGCCGACAAAAGACAAAGCTGGAATATTGACATTGAATATTGAATACATACACACAGATATATATATATAGATAGATAGATATATATATTATATATATAATATTATACGTTTTAGACATTCCCATATTGAGAGATATTTTGACAGATCTTGATAGGTTGACTCCTCTGCAGCGATATGACTCGCAACGCCTTGAGCAAAGACCAGCGCCTTGGGACTGGAGCTCAGGGTTTCAGGTAGCACAGATCTGGACACAAAACTTGGGGCAGGGCTTTGCAGCGTAATTAATATACATAATATGTACTGTATTAATACTTGCATCTGTATATACATGTGTATATATATATATACACATATGCTACACTAAATTTTATATAACCTGATAAATGCATATATGATTATATATATATATGTATAATTTATGTATAATCAGTGTGCAATTGTGAACCCTATAGGCAGCTGCAAGAGATCGGACTTGAAAGTCAAGAAGGATCCCGGTCCTCTTGATGACTGGGAAAGAAACAGTTCCAGAACGACGTGTTCGTCCTGTACTCACGAGGGGAACCCAAACTCCCGCGAGTGAGTTCTGCCCTATATAGTTATCTGATATATCTGAGGACCCTGCGAAAACGTAGAGCAAGAACAACAGAAGTACCAAACCCCAAAACATGGCAACCATGCACTTCCTGAAGCCTCAGCATATTTCAGCATCACAATGCATCACAACTCGCCCTAGATGCTGTGGATCACGCCCTTGCATGCCAATGATGCCATGTTTTTGTGTCCTTGAGATGCCATGAAGATCAACTCCCAATTCGTAGGTGCTAAAATGCCACCATCCCAAAGATTGACACGTGAATTTATACAATGCATTTATATGCAATTATGATATATTCTGGATATATATGGTGTTTCAAGTGCTTCTCATCCACTTCGCAGTCGGAGACTTGGCAAAAGGAAAGGATTCTGTGGCAACATCAAGCTGAATGAGTAGATTTAGCAAAGGAACTCTCCAGCATCATCGAAAGCCTCTCAGTAGCACCAGGGGGGGAAAATGATGGATGATAGCGATCAGGACGAGGATACAGTGCATAGTAATTAGATGTGATTAGGATGAGGATTCTTTGATATCTGGCATCCCCTTCACAACCGGCTTCACTTGTGGGCTTCACAACAGGCTGTTCTGCATGCAAGGTGGAGCCAAAGCGCCGTCACAAAAGTCTTGCCAAGAGGCTCTCGCACAAATGAAATGATGCGAATGGTGCGGAGGATCTTGGCAAATTTGAACCTCAGAGGCTACAAGCGGTGCTCACAAGGCCTGGGCTCATTCAAAGTGCTTGACGAAGCCGCTGTGACATGCTGTGACACACCAAATGAGTTCCCTGACTGTATTGCCCCACTGCAGACAAGAGCAAACCGAGTCGGATCTGCTCAAGATTTTCTGGTCACCAGTGTGCTGAGGCCGATACATGCGGAAGACTCGCCTCAGCTGGATAGATATAGCTGCTTTCACCATCTTTCATATTCTTTCATCTGACTTGCGCACGTCTCGTCCAAGTCGATGCACATTCGCTCAAAAAGTGGCCCAATAATTAGTCAAGCACACAGAAGACATTCAAGATATGGAAAACTTGAAATGGATGACATCCCCTTCTAGGTGGAAGAGCTTGGTTTCTGTTGGTTTGGAGGTCAGCTGCTTAGCAAGACTGGCAGCGTGGCTGGACAAAACAGTGAAACATGTGAAACCAAACTGCGCCAAACCTTCCATTACTTTCCTTAAGGAGGCCAACTCAGTTTTCTCACCATGCATGTCTTCAAAATTCTTCAAACCTTTCATCGCATGCTTGGAACCATCATCGGCAAGACTGGCAACATGGATAAAGAACCCCCAAAGGCCTTCAGTCCGGTTCGGATTATTGTAGCATTTGCAATGCCAGTATCACTCTGATGTGTTTCGGCACCCAGAACCTGCTTGGATGCCAAGGCACATATACCCCAGATTGTTGGGTGGCGCCTCATTGCCATCTGCAGGCCAATTGAACGCACAATCCATAGTGGAGAAGACCACCAACATAAGATCCTCAGCAACGCGACCAGAACATGCTGCCAGGTTTGGTGATTCCATGCTTAAAACCTCTAGCATCTCACTGGCCCAACTGGGAAAATCAATGAAAATCATAGGTCATAGTCAGATACAATTCTATACCTTTTCCAGACAGGGAAGGCCCAGTGTTTGCAGGGGATCAACACATTGGCCATGCCAAGCTCTGCGGCCCAAGGACGAAGATGTTCCAGGTAGCGCTCTCATTCACGAAGAAGAAACCTGGTTTCTAGCATTGGATCCCACTGGATTCCAACAAACACCAACAACTCCATGGACTTAGCGTCCCAGGGTGGAAGATGATCGACTGCCGCAGGCCTTTGCTGACCGAGATTCTCAAGATTACTTCCTTGGAAGGCGCCCAATCGACAACAGCATGATCTGTGCCGAAGCTGCTGATTCCAACGCGTTGCTTCCAAGTGTCGACCGCATAGAACAGGAGGAAACCAAGATCTACGAACTGAAAGTTCGGTGGCATATCTCAGCATGCAGCGGTGCTTTCCAGGGTGATCCTTCCCTATATCATCCTATAATCCTATATCCCTCTGGCTTTGGAGGGGCGAAACCACATCATATAATCATATATGATATATATGTAACAATTCAATCCAATTTATCTATGGATACCCCTTGAAACAACTCCAATGCTGTGGATGCTGCTAGGCGGCTCCTGCCCTCATTGATCAAGCTCCAGTCGGTCAACCAGGTCACCACGATGGCGTTCACAATGATCACCTCAGGGCTGTCATGGCATCCCGGCACCCCCCCTGTGCCGATGAATTCTGGGCTCTGAAACTCCACATTTCTGAAGTTTTCATGGGGACTTTGATGCGTGAGTTTCTGCCACATTGTGCCGCGTTTGGAAAGGGATCCTTGAATCTCAATGGCTGCTATGGAAAACTATGGATAGTTTGCGGGGGTGCACGCAATGCAGGTGAGGGACAGTTGCCGATAGAGTCTGGAACCAGCGAGACTGCACCAAATCGAAGATTCGCCCTGGTCACAGCCAAAGTTACGACACGGGAATTGTTTGTTCAAAGGCCATTCAAAATGTTGAAGCCAAAAACTTTTGCAGTCGATTATGGGGTAGTTGACTTTGATTTGGGGGCATCACTGTTAATTAGGTCTGAATTGAACCATCATTTATTTGTTCATATCCTAGTGCTCCCAAAACTTACGATTTAACTGGGAAATAAAAATGTATGTTATCAATTAGTACAAGTGCGACATTTGTTATACAGGAGAGGCCCGCGCACACTGGAATCTGAAAACGACATTTGGATCAAAACCATGCAACGCTAATTAACAATATCAAAATACGAACGCTAATCCAATCAACATGTGCTTGCCGAAGAGGTTCCTAATAATACTAAAAAAAACAAATTTCTTCACTAAGAAGTCAATTGACCAATCATGTCCAATCTGTAGCGTCACCCCACCCAATACAAAAATCAATTAAGACCTGATAAGCGCCTTTTTCAGTTTATATCCAACCAAGATCCCTACCCCTCTATAGGGGAGGGCGAGGGGAGGACAAAACCAACATGTCGAATTCCACTTTTTCTTGCTTGCTCTTGCCTGGAAACCTTGGGATAGCGATCCAACCCCTCAAATGGATTTTTAAAGTAACATTTCTTAACAAGCCTTGGGCACTGGTTAGATTATACTTGCGCTTAGCTCCGAAGGAGGAACCAAGCGCAAGTATGATGACGGCAACGCAATTTTTGGAGGGATGCCACCCCTACACATGTGCTGTTTCAGTCTGACATGTGCTTAGCTCCTCTGGAGCTAAGCGCAAGTATTTAATTTCATCTGCTTGCCAATGACATGTAATGACGAGGAATATATATTGATCATTGAGAAAATATGATTGCGAAAGTTGTATTTTACAATGAAATTTCAGTACGACTCCCGCCCCTCAAATTTCATTTTTAAGAGGGTAGGAATCAACCAAGGTCAAGCACAATTTGCTGCCGAAGAGACTCCCTATTCAGGCCCTAAGTACCTATATGCCAAAAAACTTTACATATAGTTTCACATTCATTTTGTAGCAACCTAATCTAAAGCCTCAAACGCATGGCCTCCTTTATTTCACCATGTTACCACCTAGGGTCAATAATGACGTTAGCCAGGACTCAGTTTAAAACATCTGATGGAAAACTTGAAAATGGCAAAAACCATTACTTGAGGCCGGGGGTGGATGACGAAAGCTAGCGGGGCAGGAGAAAGAAGGAAGGGAAGAGGTGAGTTGCGGAGGGACTGTCAGCATCGTGTCGTGGCATTGTTCGTCCCAACGAGGATGCAACAATGATATATTGATATATGATATATAACAATGATATATATGGGGGAGGGGGCAGGGGGGGCCCTTTCGCGGGAAAAATCACGTGATGTCCTTGGGGAGCCCCGGAATACGTGCTAAAGCAAGAAGACTCTAGCGAGCTGACGCTAGCTTTCGTGATAATGACAATAATTGCCAATAATGATAAAATGTAATTGAATAACGATGATGATGATGATGAATGATGAATGATGAATGATGAATGATGAATGATGAATGATGAATGATGATGATGATGATGATGATGATGACGAGGATGATGATGATGACGAGGACGAGGACGAGGGAGAGGACGATGACGATGACGATGATGATGACGATGATGATGACGATGATGATGATGATGATGATGGTGATGGTGATGGTGGTGATGGTGGTGATGGTGGTGGTGGTGGGGGAGGGGGGGGGGCCCCCCTTTCGCGTGAAAAATCACGTGATGTCCTTGAGCAGCCCCCCCAATACTTGCTAAAGCAAGAAGACTCCAGCTAGCTGACGCTAGCTTTCGTGACAAGAAGATATATAATTTCTATGTATTATTTAAAGGAATTTGAATGAAAACAAAGCATAATTATAACCACGCATAATCATATAGATAATTCACTACAATAAGCCCGAAACTAAACATACAGCGACTGACTTTATGTTCCACATATATAATTAGATCTCTGCGATTTATCAATAACATTCAATAACATAGCTATGTATGCTCTGTTCTGCATACATCCTTCATGTACCCAGCATATATTGTTCACATTCCAAATACCCATGCGAGCAAGAAGCGTTAATCCATTTTCATGGCCAGACGAAGGTAGACCGATTTTAAAACCCCAAGGTCCTCAAAGTCAGGATCCTAGATCAAGTATTTGCCATTGCGACTGGTACAGGTTAAATTTCACATCGGGAAATGAACATGCAGGGGAATCATGGGTAGTCATGCATCAGCAGATTTACGGATTTCTGCCGAAAAATAACCAAGATCAGCACAAGTCAATGAGAAGATGTGAGGATGAGAAGATGTAAAGTGTAAAGATGAGAAGATGTGAAGATGAACAGATGTGAAGATGAGAGGATGTGAAAATGTTTGACAGGCCCCACTATTAGAATTATTAGAAGAACCCTTCGCTCAAACGCCCTCGGGAAAAATAGTTGTAATGAGTACACGTGCGACATTTGTTATGCAGGAGAGGCCCGCGCACACCCGGACCTGGAATCTAAAAGCAGCGCTTGGACCAAAACCATGCAAAGTTAACCAAAAATATCAACATACTAACGTTAATCAACATGTGCTCGCCGAAGAGGCTCCTAATAATCCCAATAAGAAACAAGTTTCTTCACTAAAAAAATCAATTGCCCAATCATGTCCAATCTGTAGTGTCACCCAATACACAAAAATCAATTAAAATGCGCTTGGCGAAGAAGTTCCCTGATAAGCATTGATAAGCGCCTTTCTTTGAAATTTTATTCAACCAATGTCAAGCACAATGTGCTGCCTGAACAGACACCCCAATCAGGACCAAAGTATTTCCTACTAAAAACTTTACACACACACACATATATATATTATATATGTGCATGTTTCACATTCATTTTGTATCAGCCGAATCCAAGCCTCAAATGCATGGTCTCTTTTATTGTCGGGGTCCAAGACCACCATTTCAATTCAGTTTCTATTAATTTCAGGAAACTTACCAAGAGCATGAAGGGGTGAAAGGGAATGACCCATTAAATCAAACTGAAATTTGGATGATCATGGTGATCTATGATTAATCTATGATCTAGATCCTGAGACCCCAATTCGATTGCAAAAAGTTTCAATTAATTCGATGTTGGATATCGTTGGATCACTGCTGACATTTTCCCGCGACAGCTTCTCAACAGAGCGATGTTCAGTCGCCGAATCCTACGGTCACAGCCATTCCTCGCCTTCCCTAGGAGGTTCCTCCAGGCTATCCCACCAAATAGCAAAGTTTGTTGCCATGCGGCGGAATTTGTTGAACCTAAACAGCCATGAAATCACGAGTGGATCTCAAGGCATGGGATCACCCACGGAAAACATCTTGAACCTTTTTTTGTTTGTTTAAGGGTGATGAAACATACACATGGGAACATGAAAGGTGCATCTGCATTAGCAATGAGAAAAACATACATGGCATTGACCCAAATGGATTGCCCTCAATGACTACCAGATCGTGGGTTCCAACGGGCAACATTTTGCGTCTTGGTTGAAGCCGGCCACAAGAACTTTCCAATATCGGCTGACATGGGCCCTTCTGATTGAAATTGCCAGCTGGATTGAGCATGTTGAAATCACGGAGCAGTAAATGACTGAATGACTCCCTTGTGCCACTGTGCCAAGACACGCTCCATCGGCTTTAGTCGAACCCAAAATGCGACGGACCTAGCAGGCAAAGCAGTTAGATTGGCAAAACTCCGCCGGCCTCTGATTCTTGGCTGAGGTAGGATGAAATATCTCGAAAAGAACGGAAGGGCCTGAAGGGGTTCTCGAAGGCTCTCCCTATCATGTACACACGTCTGGGGACATCAAAAAGAATATGGTTTCAACATGGCAGACGGAATATGAGAAGAATTTGCAAAAGAGTGGGCGCCACTACGAACGCAACGTCATTCTGATGTTCACTTGCCTGAAATGCTATCTTACGTAGCTCACGGTTCCAAATCTTCTACGATCACAACAATGCCGAGATTAGTCAGATTTAGTCAGTTATCGCAGGAGTATTTACCAAGGGAATCAGAGTATGTACTGAGTTAAAGTAAAAGAGGTGCAGAATAGATCAGAATAGTTTTTGTTTTCTTTTTTTGGCCCAGGTTTTGGAATTTGTTGTTGGCTTTCTTTCCTGGTACCATCTGCCTTGTATTTGCAACAGTTTGGAACTAGAATCTGCAATTTTGCATGGTATTTACTACATTTTGGAATGGTCACTTTGCATGTTGCATGGTATTTGCTACATTTTGGCATGGTCACTTTGCATTTTGCATGGTACTTGCTACATTTGGCCATGTTTGCCTTCCATTTTGCATGGTATTTGCCACGTTTTCGAACTTCAACCTCTCATTTGCATGGTATTTGCTACATTTTGGTACTTCAAATGTTCATGTGGGTTTCATTAAGGGTTTCATTTGGGGTTTCTTTAGGGTTTCATTTAGGGTTTCATGTAGGGTTTCATTTAAGGTTTCTTTAGGGTTTCTTTAGAGTTTCTTTAGAGTTTCGTTTAGGGTTTGCTTAGGGTTTCATTTAAGGTTTCTTTAGGTTTAGGGTTTCTTTAGAGTTTCATTTAGGATTTCTTGAGGGTTTCATGTAGGGTTTCTTATCAGGATTTTCAAACGTTCATGTGGGTTTGTTTAGGGCTTCTTTAGGGTTTCATTTAGGGTTTCATTTAGGGTTTCATTCAGGGTTTCTTTAGGGTTTCTGTAGGGTTTCATGTAAGGTTTCATTTAGGGTTTCTTTAGGGTTTCATTAAGGGTTTCTTTAGAGTTTCGTTTAGGGTTTCTTTTCGGTTTCATTTAGGGTTTTTTAGAGTGTCGTTTAGGGTTTCTTTAGGATGTCTTTTAGGGTTTCATTCAAAGTTTCTTTAGGGTTTCATTTGTGGTTTCTTTAGGGTTAATTTATGGTTTCTTTAGGGTTCATTTAGGGTTTCATGTAGGGTTTCTTTGGGTTTCACCTAGGGTGTTTATAAACAGGAGAGAATAAAGCAAAAGAAAAGAAAAAAACAAAGAGAGGCAGTAAAGACAGGAAGCAGAGAAGCAGAGGCCAGGAAGTAGAGCAGCAAAACACATAACTGAAGAAAAGAAAAAGTAGGATAGTAAAAGTCGAAAGGCACAAAAGCAGAAAAGCAGCCAAGCAGGTAAAGCAGAGAAGCAGAAAAGAAAAGAAGCAGGTAAAGCACAAAAGCAGAAAAGCAGGGAAAGCAGAAAAGAAAAGAAGCAGGTAAAGCAGAGAAGCAGACAAGCAGGAAAAGCACAAAACAGAAAAGCAGAGAAGCAGGAAAGCATAGAACCAGGAACCCAAAAATAATTCAAAACCTGCAGCAAAAAAATACCAAAAATAAATAACCCTCCAAGTAAAAGTCCAGGGCGAGGAGCTGTCTTAGATACCAAGGTCTCTTGCATGTCCTGGCCAAAGGTTGAAAACAACATTTCGGCGCAGGTAGGAAAATCATCTGCAGCTGCTTGTTCATGCTTGTTCTTCATTGTTTTTCCACTTCCAAGTTCTGATTGGCACCCATCACCCTTGATATTGATATTCTGTCGCCTAGCAGGACGGGCACAGCTGCATAGCTCGCCATTCTTTGCCCAGCCCCGGGCCCATCACCCCAGGCATTCCCATTGCCTCAGGATGCCCCAGGTCCTGCTGTTCAACGTACTTCTTCAACCCCAATCTGTCTCCAAAAACGGATTGCCGGAAGGAGCCTGGGCTGGCGCAACCACCGGGAGCCCAAGGTGCCAAGGTCCAGGTCTTGCGATGTCTTCCGAGATGTCAAGCAAAAAATAGTGATGGCAAATCTTCAGCTGTTGTCGTTGCTGATCTGGTTGATGACGATGATGATGATGATGATGATGATGACGATGACGATGACAAAAGATGACGGATGATGACGGATGATGAAGGATGATGATGATGATGATGATGATGATGGTGATGATGATGATGATAATGATGATGATGATGCTGATGATGATGCCGGTGACGATGACGATGACGATGACGGATGATGACGGATGATGACGGATGATGATGGATGATGATGGATGATGACGGATGATGACGGATGATGACGGATGATGACGGTTGATGACGTGATGATGATGACGATGACGATGACGATGATGATGATGATGATGATTATGATGATTATGATGATGGTGATGATGAAGATGATGATGATGATGGTGATGATGATGATGATGACGGTGATGACGACGATGACGACGATGATGACGATGATGACGAATGATGACGGATGATGACGGATGATGACGGATGATGACGGATGGTGACAAATGATGACGGATGATGACGGATGATGACGGAGCTGATGATGATGATGATGATGTTGATGATGATGATGATGATGAAACGATGATGATGATAATGATGATGGTGATGATGGTGATGATGATGATGACGGATGATGATGATGATGATGATGATGATGATGGATGATGACGGATGATGACGGATGATGACGGATGATGACGGATGATGACGGATGATGATGGATGATGATGGATGATGACGGATGATGACGGATCATGACGATGATGACGGATGATGACGATGATGACGA